CAGCTTCCAGTGCTGAAAGACGTATCATAAGTGCAACAATGACAGCCTTAAGAGTCAGGAACATGCTATGAACACAGAAAGTACAGGGGGGCTGGCGTGCAAAGAAGTACTTATTTGTGCCTGGAATATTCCTGAAAAGATTCTCAGGGATGTCTTATTTGAACTGGACCTTGAAAGACAGGAGAAAGATATTAAGAGGGAGAGAATCCCAGGAAGAGATGCGGAAGAGAGGGAGGGAGAGAGAGAGAGAGAGAGAGAGAGAGAGAGAGAGAGATGTTTTCCCAGGTACATTTTGAGTACAGAAAAAACCCAAAATGTGTAATAGGGTTGGGGTGGGGTTGGGGTGCCTGGGTAGAGCCTTGATTCCCAGACTGGGGGATAGCTTGCCTGATTACCTAACTAGCAGTCTACTACTACTTTAGAGGTGTTTTTCAGCCTGGTCATGTAGGAGAATCTGCATTTCAGTGATTCAGTTCCTAACATCCAGTGAGCAACAAAGTCCTCGGGGAGCTCTTTTAGAAAAGAGAACAAGACCTGAAGAAAAACTGAGTCCACTAAAATGTTACAGGTTCCAAGATAGAACTCTTCATGGGACTCAACAGAACACAAAATTAGGGGGCTTTTAATGGTTATTTCTAATTATGAACTTCTTCCCTTACATTAGGTCAAAATATAGAAGGATCCAGAACTTTTTTTTTAGGAAAGACCCAGAACTTATGGGAGTTTGCCTCAGTTATTCACAGACCTTGCATGGATAAGCATTGGCATTTATGCTGTCCTTATTAGATCCCATTATGGTTTCTTGGCACTGAAGCCTTGAGACACAGCTGTGTTCTCTATGAGCCCATTTGAAACCATCTGAGGCCTCACTATACCTTTCTGTCAACTCAGAGTTGCGGCTTTTGCATCTCCTCCTGGACTGCCCAGGAATGATGGGGACTTTTCCAATGCTTGCCTGTTTGAACCTGCCACATTCATTCTCTCTCTCTCTCTCTCTCTCTCTCTCTCTCTCTCTCTCTCTCAATATAAATTTGTGTTTAAATTAGAAATGATCTTATTTCACATATCAATCCCAGTTTCCTCTTCCTCCAATCCTCCCATGTTCCCCCACTGACTTAGCCCCCCCACCCCACCCCATTGTCCCACCCCCATCCACTCCCCAGGGAGAGTGAGGCCTTCCATGGGGGATCATCAAAGATTGTCACATCATTTGGGGCAGGACCTAGGTCCTCCCATGTGTATCTAGGCTGGCAGAGTATCTCTCCATAGGGAATGGGCTGCCAGTGTCCATTTGTGCACTAGGGATAAATACTGGTTTCACTGCCATAGGCCCCATAGACTGACCAGGCCTCCTAACTGACACCCACGTTCAGGGGGCCTGGTTAAGCCCCATTCTGGTTCCCCAGCTGTCAGACCCGGGTCCCCTGAGATCCCCTTGTTCAGGTCAGCCTTTTGTGTGGATTTCCCCAGCCTGGTCTTGAACCCTTCGTTCATCCCTCCTCCCTCTCTATAACTGGAATACAGAGTTCATCTCAGTGTTTAGCTGTGGGTCTCTTCTGCTTCCATCACCTACTGGATGAAGGCTCTAGGATGGCATCATCTCATTATAGGGGAAGGGCATTTAAGGTAGCCTCTCCACTGTTGCTTAGATTCCTAGTTGGGGTCATCCTTGTGGATCCCTGGACATTACCTAGTGTCAGATTTCTCTTTAAACCTATAATGGTTTCCTCTATTAAAGTGTCTCATTTCTTGCTCTCCTGTATTGTTCCCCAGACTCAATCTTCCTGATCCCTCATGTTCTCCTCCCCCTCCTCTTCTCCCTTTCTCTTTCTCCTCCCTCCTTCTCCCCAACCCTCTCCCCCATGCTCCCAGTTTGGTTAAGAGGGACCATGTATGTCTCTCTTAGGGTTCTCCTTGTTTCCTAGGTGTGGATTGTAGGCTGGTAATCCTTTGCTCTAGGTCTACTATCCCTGTATGAGAGAGTATATACCATGCTCATCTTTCTGTGACTGGATTACCTCACTCAGGGTGGTTTCTTCCAGTTCCATCCATTTGCCTGAAAAGTTCAAGATTCCATTGTTTTGTTTTTTCTACTTAATAATACTCCACTGTGTGAATGTACCACATTTTAGATAAAAAAAAAAAAAAAAAAAAAAAGTAAGCCCCAGATCAGTTTTCTCTGTTCACACACATCTGCCCTTTTCATTTGGGTTTTGTGTTTGGAATTTGGATTGTAGTCTCTACATTGATAGTTCGGGAAACCCTCTCTGTTCAGCTACCAAATACACAATCAACAATGAGATGTTTGTAGTTTTAACTCTGAGTTAGGGAGAAAAAATAGGATGGAGACTGAGTGGTGGAAGAGTAAACATCAGCTATTTTTTTGTGGTAACATCCTGCAACACAGCTATTAAAGGGTAGGGCCAGAGTTTGGAAGGGATTATGATGGAAGCTTTTAACCCTGGCTTGCCAATAAAATTGCTAGGAAATTTTTTGAAAAGTTGATTATTAGACCATATCACTATAGATTCCAGTGTAATTATTGTCAATAGGGATCAAGGATATATATATATATATATATATATATATATATATATATATGGATTCCTCTTATCCAATGTTAATACAGACAGAATACAGAATATTCCAAATGTACTACACATTGAAAATCGCCTGCCTTGTGCTACTGGGAGCATTCTTCATTCCTTCTATTTTCCCTGAGACATCCTCACTATGTAGCTCTGGGTAGTCTAAAACTTGCTACATAAATTAGACTGCAGTAATTAACTTGCAGTGATTCCCCTGCCTCTGTCTCTGTGTACTGGAGCTGCAAACACACCTGACTAGTATCACTCTTCAGACCCATGAGAAAGCACCACTTCACTTTTAACTTTTAACTCTTTTCTTAGTTGAAAATAATAGGCATAGGTGATATAAATTTGCAGTCTGAATAATTAAAATACTTATTATAGCTCAGAAATCTAATTATATGAGCAAATAGATAGTAACTCCACTAGAGCTGGAGGAAAGAAAGTTAAATGAAAAAAAAAATGAGATTGAAACAAGCAAAAGAAAACATTTAGTCATTTTTAACGCGATACAAAACTATTTGTAAGTGATGTAAGTTTGCAGCCAGATTTGAGAACCTTTGTATCTTAGAGTGAAAACTTAGAGGGACATGATCATTTTGGGGTTCCACATTTCTAATTTGGTTCAAATGTCCAGAAGCCAGAGGAGTCTGGAAGAATTGAAACCATTTCCTCAAGCTCCTCTGTTAGGGACCCTTCTGTAGTGGGATGTTTGGACCTCCAGCTCACAAATAACGACACGGAGACCTCTTATTAGCTATAAAATCTTGGCCTATAACTTAGGCCATATCCTAATTAGCTCTTATAACTTAAATCATGTCTTTATCAATCTGTGCTCTACCATGTGTTGTTACATCGTTTCCATCTTACGTCTCCCTTTTCCTCTCCATGCCTCCGTGCGTCTCCTGTGCTCCTCTGGATTCCTCTTCCTTTTCCTTTCTCTCCCCAGAAATCCCACCTTTACCTCCTGCCCAGCTATCAGCATGCTCAGCTTTTTATTACACCAATCACAGCAATACATTTTCGCAGTGTACAAACATCTCACAAGGTCCTTCCTGGAAAACTGATAGTGAACTATATACTTAATTCTGGAGCATAGATTTCAAACACACAGATTTCACATATTCTTCATATGCCATGCACTTCAGCATACAGCAAAAAAGCATGGGCTGTGGCATGATTTGCAGTAGGCTACAAGTGTAAACTTTGTATACCTTCCCTTGAGGATAGTCGTTTTCCCACAAGTCTCTCAGGAGTACACTTCTCTCCATATAAATTGCCCAGTCTATACCACCCTGAACTCATCTGATTTCATCTGATCTAGGAATCTAAGCAGGGTCAGAGCTGATTAGTACTGCCACGGGAGACCATACAATTGCCCAACAATTCTTTCTTTATGTTCTGTCTCTGTGCTTCAGTTCCTGACTTGCTTACTACAAATGCAGTACTTGTAATGCCCTGATTTCCCCCAAATCTGTCATACCTTTTTGGGCTATGAGCAAATGCTGACCTTGCATCCCATGGAGTCACTGCAGCCAGATTTACTCTTTTGGTTTGTAAATATCATTCTATTCTTCCCAATACCAAGTTGCTATTGTAACTCAAACACTCTACCCTCCTGTGTTGTTTTTCCTGTTTGTATGTGAATGTTTAATAGCCTCTCTTATCTTGAGAAGATGTCTGGGATGCAAGGCCTGCTTCCTACTGCAGAAGTTGAGTAGCCTAGTTTCTTGCTGTTTCTTTCCCCTGTTTAATGTTGTGGACAACTCACTTCAGTTCAGACAAGTGAGCCTCAAAGCTGAGGAAGTTGCTGTAGGGTTTGCATTGTAGCCATGGCAACTGCAGCAGAGCCACGTTCCGACTACAGGACTCTTCCTGAGGCTGAATGGGGATGGGTAAAGGTGCCTTGACCATATTCTGATGCAGCTCTGGTTGACCACTTTTTACCTCTTTTATTCCCAAATGTCCATTTATTGAGCTACTCTAGACACCCTTTCCTCTTTTTTTGTTAGAGTTTGTTCTATTATTTTGTTATTTTATTCTATGGTTTTAGTTGAACTAAAATAGAGTTAAAAGTTGAAAGTCAAGTGATGCTTTCTCCTGGGTCTGAAGAGTGCTACTAGGCAGTTGTGCCTGTGGCTCCAGTACTCAGAGACAGAGGCAGGAGGATCACTACATGCCGAAGGATAGCCTAGTTTGTATAGCAAGTTTCAGGCTACCTAGAGATAGACAGTGAGACTATCTCAGGAAAAACAAGAATGAAGAGTGCTCCCAATTGCAAAAAGAAAGGCAATTTAAATATATCGAACTTTTGGAAGATTCATCTATGTCTGTTAATTCTTGGTTGATGCATTTTGACATGTCATAATAGTGTTTAATATCACTGACTTTTAAATTTGCTTCTCTATATTTTTCTTTTATTGTGCCTGTAGGTAATTTGAGCAAGGAGATGATGCCTCTGTCTCTCAAATGGCCACTTGAAAACATACCTTCTCTACTTTCCTTACTATTGGTGTTTTTAGCTGTGTCATCTCTTTCTTGGTGTCAGAGTAGTGATACAGCATTTCCAAAAGCAAGTAATGGGGCCCCATTTCCTTGGAATAATGTGCGACTTCCTGAGCATATCATTCCAATTCATTATGATCTCATGATCCATGCAAACCTCAGCACTCTGACCTTCTGTGGAACAACAGAAGTAGAAATCATAGTCAGTCAGCCCACCAGCACCATTATCATGCATAGTCACCAGCTGCAAATATCTAAGGCCACCCTCAGGAGAGCTGCTGAAGACAAGTTGTCTGAAGAACCACTGAGCATCCTGGAGTACCCTGCTCACGAGCAAATTGCACTGCTGGCTCCCCAGCCACTCCTTGCTGGACCAGTGTACACAGTTATCATCACCTATGCTGCCAACCTGTCTGAGAGCTTCCATGGATTTTATAAAAGCACCTACAGAACCCATGAAGGGGAGACTAGGTAAAGGGAATTGTTTTTAGCTTCAAGTGTATTGTTTAGATTTGTGTTTCTTTCAAACTGAATTCTGTTCAGTAATATTTTCATCTTTATCCTGTTAAAGATGAGTAAATTTCCTCCCTTGCTTTTTCACCTCATATTTTTTTCCATTTGATTTTCATTCTTCCTGCTCTAGCAGAATAAACATCTATTTGCTTATATAATTACATTTCTTTGCATTAGTTTTCCGGGGCTACAAACTAGGTCTCTTAGAACAGTTTTGATTTTCTCCTAATTTGGAGGCTGGAAAGTTGACATCAGGGCCCGGGAGAGATTACTCCTTCCTCTGTTGTCTATTGGTTCTCTTTGTTCTAATCCTCCCTGTACCGTGTGTGTCTAGAATCCAAATTTCCAAATCAGAACTCCTGTCCCATTGCTTGAGTCCTAAGTCAATAGCCTCATCTTAGCTTTATTTCATTTGCAAAGACCCCATTTCCAAATATGGCCACACTCAGACATACTGGGAGTCAGGACCTTAACATGTCTCTGAAGACAATCACAGGTAATATTTTTCTCTCATTTAAAAATTTTTAAAAAATAACTCCAATGCCTTCCTTTAGTTCTGCTTTTAAGGAAAATATGTATTTTGGGAGTGTAAGCACCCATGAGTCTGGGCCAAGATTACCTAATATGACCAGTCAAGGAATTAATCAGTTGGAGGGACCACAACAAGACAGAAGCTGTGACAAATTTATTGAGAGCAATCAGACATTTTATACTCTTATAAGAAACAGAATTTGGGGGGGGGGCTGTCAGGATCAATACAGCTGTAGGACCCAGGATACAATGATGTTTGCTGTTGGAAGCATAACAGGAAGGCCCTTGTGCCCACAGATCTGAGAAAGCAGGAATGTTAATCATACAGTCTTTACAATGGGAAAGATGTAAAACCTGTTCTTCCATCCAGAAAGCTGAGACTTGGAAGTGGTTAGCAGCCTGGTGATCTGTGTCGTCTCTTGGGCCAGGCCATATCAAGCTCCCACAGCCAGAACTTGAAGTGGATAATAGTGCAAATGACCTCTACACTATCTGTACGACAAGAACAAGCTAGACCCTTAGGCCCTTAAGCTAGTACAGGTACTGTGTCTCTAGGACCCACCTTCTTAGAAGAAATGGCATGTACCCTGAGTTGAGTTTCAATGTAATTATGCTTCCTTGTGCAGTAGGATTATATTACATCAGGAAACTTTTTTCCAAATTATACATTAGGAATAAACACCTGTTAGACCCCTAGAAGTCTGATCGAGGTTGATGAAATCCAGTCTGACTAAGTTTTTATTCGTATCTCTTTATGGGGTTTGTTTCTCTGCCTGAATATCTGCAGAGAACCCCCCCCCCCCCCAATTTGCAAGCTATACAGGGTACACAGGATTAATGTATAAGACAAGTTGTCATGGGAAGCTTTCATGCTTTGTTGATTTCTAAGGGAACATACAGAAAAACACATTGGCCTGGATGCCATGAGGGATTGCCTCCATCTCTCAGGAACAGAAAGGCACAGTATGGAGTCTAACCTGAAAACCCTACAGTGCAGCTAGGCCAGGCAAACCTAATGATTCAGTGTAGGGGAGTTCTTTTTTTATTTTTTATTTTTATTTTTTATGATTATAAGTGTTTTTGCCTTCATGTGTGCTTGTGTACCACTAATCTACTTTGTGCCTGAGGAGGCCAGAAGATCGCACTGGATCCCTTGGTACCAGGGCAATTGATGCGCATGAGCTGTCATGTGCATCCTTGGGATCAAACCCAAGTCCCCTGGAAGAGCAACCAGAGCTCTTAACTATTGAGCCACCCATCACCATGGACCTCAAATTAGGAAATTCTCTTTCTTTCATTGTTTTTGTTTGTTTGTATGTTTGGAGGTAGGGTCTCACTTTATAGCCCTAGGCTGGCCTTGAACTCACAGAAATCCACCAGCCTCTGCTTCCCAAATGCTGGAATTATGTGCATAACCATACCTGGCCTGTATGAGGAGGTCTTATCCTAAACTTTAACATCATATTTTCTTTGTAGATTATGTTGATTCCATATTCTTTTGATAAGATAAAAAGTCAAAATCAGATTATTTCAAGAAGAATTTATAGCCCCCATGTTATATCCTTGCATATTTATTCCTGGGATATGCATGTATGTTATTATATGTAAATTAAATTTAGAAGCAAGGTTTAAAAAATGTTTTTTTTTATCATTGTGTAATATGTCAGTGATATTATTAAAATATATTAATGTATTTAATGTGTATTATATAGAAATCAAGTTATTTCAACTTTATAATATTAACAACAGTTCAAAGAATACCCTTACAATAATGTAAACAAATATTCAGTAAAATAAAATCAGTAAATCACAGCCTACAACCTTCTGAAAACCCTATTTTCTTAATTCTGACTAAAATCATTATTTAAGAGCAAAATGTTAAAAAAAAGATGTCTTCCTCAATTCTTAGTAGTTTTCATATTAAGAAAGTAGAACAATTTTAGGCATGTTTATTAATGATATTTAAGTTTCCTTTCTGAATTGCTTATGTCTGTACACCCAGGTGTGTGCATGAAGTCAGATATTTTCCTAGTGTTCACTCCTTCCTTCCTTCCTTCCTTTCTTCCTCCCTCCCTCCCTTCCTTTCTCCTTCTCTACTTCCTTCCTCCCTTCATTTTTCCTTCTTCCTCCCTTCTCCATTCCTCCCATCTTTTTCTTCTTTCCTCCCTTCTTTCCCTCCCTCTCTCCCTTCCTTCCTTCCTTCCTTCCTATTTATTTATTTATTTAGCCACTGAGCTTGGTTAATACTCATTGATTGGAGAGACTGGTTGGCCAGTGAGCTCTGGAAAGCTACCTGCCTCTGTCTTCCCAGTGTTAGGGTTACAGCTGCATGTTTTCATATGTAGCTTTTCATGTGCATGCTAGACATCTGAACTCAGATCCTCATACTTGTAGAAGAGTCACTTACCAGCTGAGCCATCCCTATAGCTCCTTTCATTTAAAACATATCTATTTATTTCAGAACTTGGGAAGCAAAGGCAGGTAGATCTCGGAATTTGAGGCTAGCCTCATCCCCATGGCAAATTCCAGGCTAAGCAGGGCTACACATCTCACCCTACATGTGGAATGGAGAGGGGGGGATGGGATTGGAGGGTGGTCAGGGGGTATGGGAGGGAGGGTGAGTGGGAGGGATGGAGGGAGGGAGAGGGAACTGGGATCCATATGTAAAATAAGAAAAAATAGTTGTCAAATCCAAAGATCTTAAATTAATTACAGGACTTAGGATGCAGCTGCCTACTTTGGAGTTTCTGACATGAAGCCCTTGATTTCCTTTCACTTCCTGTGGTTGTAGAATACTTGCATCAACACAGTTTGAACCCACGGCTGCTCGAATGGCCTTTCCCTGCTTTGATGAGCCTGCACTCAAGGCAAGTTTTTCCATCAAGATAAGGAAAGATCCAAGGCATCTGGCCATCTCCAACATGCCCTTGGTAAGTGTGAATGGCATGCGGTCCTGGGAAAACTGTCCTTCTCTGTAATGTCCAATACTCCAACAACTTTTCATTTACTTTTGTTTTTATTTTCTGGCACTTTCACTTCTAACCAATGCTTTTGTTTCAAGCCATAATTTGTTGGTAACCAAAGGAAACAATGTCCCTTGAAAATTCATGTTTTCAGTGTAAGTAACACACACGGGAGGGGATTGTCAGGAATTCACACGAGGTTCAACAGATAGTTCCTTCCCTGCACAAGGTACTTTCAGTCCCATTAGCTTCTGCGATATTTCATGATGGCGTTAAATAGAAAACTTTGTCTCCTAAAGCCTCATAGCATCTCCTAGGAATGTCAGAAGCTACACCCATAAAGTCTCACTAACATGACTACCTAAACATGAGCTGAACAACTTGACTAAGGAAAGCTGAGAATGGGAGACAGTCTTCCTCTGGGAAGAGCTCACCAATTAGTTATCCAAACCTTAACTACATAACAGTAAATAAAGAAACTGAAAACATACACACAAGGAGCATTAACATGGGACAGGTTATAGTTAGGAATATACACATGTATTCATGTAAAAGTTCATGAAAAAAGCAGCCATGCATTAGAAAGAGAATGGGGGATGTGTGGGAGGGTTTGGAGGAAGGAAAGGGAAGGGGGAAATGGTGTAATTACAGTACAGGCTCAAAAATAAAGTAATACTAATTTATTTTTACTCTCTGCTGTCATTAACGGTACAGCAGGTCAGATTTCTAGTAAAGACTTTTAAAAGTAATTAAAGAAATATCATACTGGTCCCTTCAATATGTCTTTGGAAGATTTCTTTATAATGTGTACCAGTGTGTAATGGTTGGATTACTTGGTAATTTACTCTGATAATAGGTGAAATCTGTGAATGTTGCCGAAGGACTCATAGAAGACCATTTTGATGTCACTGTGAAGATGAGCACCTACCTGGTGGCCTTCATTGTTTGCGATTTTAAATCTGTGAGCAAGACAACTAAGAGCGGAGTCAAGGTGAGCATCCAACTGCCCCACAAGATGATCATCCTGTGCTGATGCTCTTGCTTCCTGGGACTCCCTTAACTGTAGGACAGCTATGATTCTATCGTCACAAATGCTTACCTGATAGCAATGTCCTAATAATAAAAACAGATAGAGCCCCTGGCCATGCGTGAGTCATAAGTTACCTGGCTCTATTGTGAACGGGCTCTCTGATCTTGGCAATTTTCCTTGTGGAATGTAGATTATGTTTCTTTTAAATGTATAAGTTGACCAGGCATCATGACAGAATTGGTCAGATCTCTGTGAGTCCAAGACCAGCCTGGTCTACATAGTGAGTTCCAGGCCAGCTAGGGCTACAGACTAAGATCCTATCTCAAAAAACAAGCAAACAAGGGAAGAACAAGTGGATTGGACAACATCTAGTTGAGATGTCTAAGCTTGCATCTGGTTATAACTATCTACAGCATTGAAGGCAATGTTACTGGTTGTGGGGAGGAAAGGAGAGAAAGCTGCCTGCTGGCTTGGAGTAGGAGTCTTTAGGAAGACCACTTTAATGCCAGATAATATTAGAATGCTGGAACAAAGCCCTTGCCTCAAGTATCCTTTGTGCCTGGGCTCAGCACTTACGCCTTCACAATGATGTTGCAAATGATGTTGCATGGCCCAGAAAGCAAATGTGTTTTGGAGGGGAACTGAAGTTACTTTATATGTTTGTGGTGCTGTTTCTGAGGCCTGAGTAGCTGGACCACTCTTGAGTAATCATTTGTTCTTTAGTTCAGTGGATATTTGAAAGGAGGGTTAGTGATTTAGATGAAGAGAATACTCTAACTTGCCCATTACTTTGCACATTTTTCTGACTCTATTGTGCATGATGTTTTTATACTGTCTAAGCAATGCTTACATTTTCCCTCTTACTTCTCTTCCTTGGAACACATTAAGTATACATATTTTTATATCCTGGGCACAGTCATTGTTATAACTGATGTTTTTGTATATCTTGCTTCTGCAGATTCTTGTTCATGGTATCTCCTTTCTTTGCACTTATTATGGGTTATTCCTTAGTCAAAAGTGGACTCTTCAAATTTTGCTTCTGCCAGTTGATAGAGGTCTTCCAATCCAAAGATTACTTTATATGAGTATATTACCTTCAAGATTTAGGTTATCTAGTTACTGCAGTTTCAGCTCTTAAGTACTATAAGGATTCTTTTTAAACTACAGTTTTTTTTTTTTAAACTTTCCCATCCTCCTTTGTGTATATCAATGTATGGCAAAGCCTTTTTTCCTTCCTCCCCCTTTCCCTTCTTCTCTCCCTCCTTCCCCCCTCCCTCCCTCCCTCCCTCCCTCTCTTCTTCCTTTTCTCCCTCCCTATCTCCCTCCCTCCTTCCCTCCCTTCCTGTCTTGTTAAATTTTAATTGCAGTTTCTTTAAGAGAATTGCAACTTATTTTTAGTTTACCCACACACTAAGGAGATAGCCTTTGGGGTGTGCTTTTATGGAAGTTGGTCTCCTGTTATATTTCTTTCCTTAGCTAGGACCTGTATTTCCACCCTTAGGTCCTAGAGTCTGTCAGTGCCATGAGAACCAGAGATTCAGTCCATTTGTTGGAGTAGGATACCCAGGAGAAAGACTGGCTGTGGTTCCCTGCTGACTTTCTAGGGTCCAGCTGACATCTTGCTGTTTCTTTCTAAATCATCTTTATTGCCATCTTATGAAAATATTTGAGAAAACTGCTTTGAGCCTGTATTTGTAACTTTTTGTATTGTTCTCAGAAATGAAATTGATTAGTAGCAGACAGAAGTATAATAATGGAATTCCTCAATGTCTTTTGTAATATTGACATTCATATCCCATAGTAAGAACCATTAAAGCCAATTGGTGCAGGGAAGTCACTATGTTATTTGAATATACTCCTGTGCCTTCCTCTTTAGGTCTCTGTATATGCTGTCCCAGACAAGATACATCAAGCAGATTATGCTCTGGATGCTGCAGTCACTCTTCTAGAATTCTATGAGGATTATTTCAGTATTCCATATCCTTTACCCAAGCAAGGTAGAGTATTACAGACATTTCCAGGTGATTTTGATGGCCCCCACATGGATCATATTGTTATTACTGCTAATCCTGGTGGTTCTCCACTCTGCCCTTCACCTGATGAAGTTCCCAGCAAAGTTCTAACAACAGATTGATCCCCCTGAGCATCTTCTCACCTCTGATTTATGTGATCAACTACATACAGTCCCTGATAGTGTGACCTGTGGATGATTTTTTATTCATGTATTTTTAGTATGGCGTAGAAGAGTGCAGAGGCTGTTTTCATTTTTTGTCATTATCAGTACATACTTCACAGAATAGAAACCAACTCAATAACCTTTTCTGAATGAGTACATTTGCCTAGCATAAGAATAAGAAAGTGCAGATTTTCTAAGAACCCTGGAAGCTACTGGGTATTGAGCTTTTATATATATGTAGCTGTAGCCATCCGGAATACAGTAGATTGCTAATGTAATTCTTTTTGATTGTTCGGTTCCCAAATTCATGGTGTAAATATTAGAGACAGATCCAAGCCTCCTCAGGCTTGTGTTCTCAGGTGCTCGGGAGGCTGAGGTAGGATGATTGCAAATTCAAGGCCAGAGTAATTAACATAGTGAGATCTGTCTCAAAAAAGTAGAAAGAGGCATGGGGATATATCTCAGTGGTAGAGCACTTGTCTAGCATGCACAAGGGCCTAGGTTCAATCCCCAGCATTGTAAAATAAAGTGTGTGTGTGTGTGTGTGTGTGTATGGGTGTGTAGCTGGGGCTTTTCTTGTCCCACAGGTTCCACAGCTGCTTCTTTAGCCCCAAATAAGCACACAGACACTATATTAGTTATAAAATCATGATACAACAGACTGATGACTAGGGCATCTTATTGGCTAGCTGTCTTAATTATTAACCCATTTCTATTAATCTAAGTATTTCCACTGGTCTTATCTGTTATGACAACTCTTTCCCACCAGCCTGGTCCCAGAACCACATCAGCCTCAAATGAACACTCAGAGACTTATATTAATTATAAAGCTGTTGACCAATGACTAGGGCTTCTCATTGGGTCTTACTTATTAACCCATTCCTATCAATCTGAGTATTGCCACAAGGCTGTGGTTTACCTGGTAATGCCTAGCATGGTGTTACTCCTCCAGCAGCATTGTGACTCTGGCCGGCAACTGCCTACCTTTCCCAGAATGTTTCTCATCTCCTAGTCCTGCCTATCTTCCTGCATTATTGGCTGAACAGTGTTTTATTCATTAACTAATAAGAGAAACACATACAGAAGGACATCCCTCATCACTATATTACCGAATAAGGGTCTGGACTTGTTTTTTTCTTTGGCAGCCTACATGGCGACTCACTTTAGCAGGCTGTCTCTGCCTACCTTTCCCAGAATTCTCCTCATCCTAGTCCCACATACCTTCCTTCCTCATTGGCCAGACAGTGTTTTATTCATCAACCAATAAGAGAAACATATATATAGAAGGACATTTCTAATTTTGGGATGGATCAAAAGGGATGTCCTGAGAGATTCCAGCCCAAGTCTGAGTCCCTTTGGTAGCAACATGATAGTCACAAGGGAAGCTTCTTTTCCTCTGGAGCTCCCTAAGTCTGGATGCATGGCTTGACTTTGTATTTTACCCTAACACCCATCCATTCTTATGATTATTTCATATGTTTTGGAGAGTATGTAGGTGTGAGATTGATAATGAGCTATATTTCTTCCTGCCCAAGATCTTGCTGCAATTCCTGACTTTCAGTCTGGTGCGATGGAGAACTGGGGCCTGACCACATACAGAGAATCCTCTCTGTTATATGATAAGGAAAAGTCTTCTGCATCCAGTAAGCTTAGTATCACAATGACTGTGTCCCATGAACTTGCTCACCAGGTACTCACATGTCATTTTTTTGTTCTTTGGGAATTTCATAGATGTATGCAATAACATAGGATCCTTATTTCTGCTCTCATCCAACTCATTCTGGGTCCTCCTAACAAAACATCCACCTCTCAACTTCGTGTCTTCCTTTTCTTTATTTTTTGATAACCCACTAAATTCAGTTAATGCTGTCCATAGGTGCATGGGTGGGATCCTTCACTCGAGAATCTGTCAGCCAAACCCTCAGAGAAGAACGAGTCTTAGTGTTAGTTAATGTTCATGTCTTTTTGGGGACAAATGAAGCTACTAATATAGTTATGTGTTTACTTTGTCATTTCATAGAAGAATTAGTTCTTTAAAGCATTAAGTTTTACGATTTTTTTAAAATGAATCTTGAAAAGTTCTCATTTTTACTCTGATAAAATATTTAATAAATATGTCTGCATTTACAAGCTGATTGATTTCTGCCTTAATACATGTCAAATAATACAATTTCTCTATAAATCTGTGAATAAGCAGTCATGTTTTCCTTTCAGTGGTTTGGGAATCTGGTCACCATGGAATGGTGGAATGACCTTTGGCTCAATGAAGGATTTGCCAAGTTTATGGAGTTTGTGTCTGTCACTGTGACCCACCCTGAACTGAAAGTTGTACGTGGTCATTATTTATGTATTTATACCTTAGGTGAATCTGTTGTTGTTTCAATGTTTCTGCAAAATATTTGGTGTTTTTTGACTATGTAAGTTATAGAAGTAATAACTTCATTGGAATTATTGTTCATTGGAATCATGTTTGAAAATGCTAAATGAACTTTTAATATAAATGAACTATTAAGTTGTTTTTTTCCCTTACATTAAAAAAATAGAGCTAGTGATAGGTGGAGTGTTTTGTACCATTTCTCAACCTTTAGTCTGTTCATTGCAATTTATTAGACATATATTACTGTTATGCTACATAGAATGCAAATTGACAAAATACATGAATTATAGCTGAAGTAACTACATATTACATTATTAACCTGGACTTCTAGATCACAGATTTAATGTTCTAGAATCATTTGTGTGTTTAAATAGCATGTGTTAATTATTAGAAAATCATAAATAGCAAGCAAAAATAAATTCACTTTTTCTAAAAAATTTTTAGTATAATTTTCATTTATGGGTAGTTACTCATGTCTATAACCATAATCTATATATAACTATAGTTATGGGTGCATAATACAGTATAGTGCCATGCATTATAAATGTGTCTATTTCTACATAATCTTTAATAATAAAAAAGATTATGGATACACAGTTGGCTGAGCATGCCAAGTAAAGAAAGCTGAGGTTGGCCAGGTGGTGATAGCACAGCTGGGCAGTGGTGGCACACGCCTTTAATCCTAGCACTCTGGAGGCAGAGACAGGGGGATCTCTGTGAGTCTGAACCCAGCCTGGTCTACTGGACGAGTTCCACGACAGACTCCAAAGCTACAGAGAAACCCTGTCTCAAAAAACAAAACACAAAAACAAAATCCACAACAAAAAAGAAAGCTGAGGTTGGGATTTATTGTTAATTTATTGTCTTTTACTACACGGTCCTAAAATTAAATATATATGCTTTGATGGAATCACTATACATTTTGCTTCTCTCTTTTTTGGCTATAAGTGGAATGGTTTTGTTTTTGGGTTAAAATGAGATTAATTTTACTCTAAAGTGGCAACTATCCAAAACAAATTGCTTACTTAACAATCACTGTTTCTTAGGTGCTTGAGTGCTCTTTAAGAAGCTTAGCAAGGCTGTTGTATTCTATTCCTGTTACCACAAATCAAGCGTTCTTTCTTTCACTCTTTTTATCTAAATGTAGCTCAGGGATGATACTATCTCCCTTCTTTTTTCTCTATGTTGGCAGGAAGAGCATTTCTTTGGCAAGTGTTTTAATGCAATGGAAATAGATGCATTCAACTCCTCACACCCTGTATCCACACCTGTGGAGAATCCTGCACAGATTCGGGAGATGTTTGATGATGTTTCTTATGAAAAGGTACAAGTAAATTGCAGAGGTGCTGTTTGGACAATACGTTCATTAGCAGTTGGATAAAAGGGTTATAGCTCAGGTGTGGGATAGCTTTCTCTACATCAGGGTAACACAGATTTAATGATTTGGGTCCTGACTGTGCTAGCTGACTTGAATTGTTTCAGGTTGAACTTGCCGTTTGGCCCATAATCCTTAAGGTTAGATTCTGGTCAAATCTTTACTCTTTCTAAGGTGAAAATTTTTGAAAAAGCAAATGTAGCTGCATTGAGATGTATAAACTATAGAAAGCAATTATTTTTCTTATCTTTTCAGGGTGCTTGTATTCTGAATATGCTAAGAGATTATCTGGGTGCAGACACATTTAAAAGAGGAATTGTGCAGTATCTTCAGAAGTATAGTTATAAAAACACAAAAAATGAGGACCTGTGGAACAGCATGGCAAGTGTGAGTAGTGCTGGAAAGCTGCCTTGTTTGGCCTTTTTCCTGTGTTATGGAACTCCTTCACAAAGAACCAAGTGCTTTCTACAGAAATGAGGGTGATGTTTACTTTTGGTTTTAGATTTGCCCCACAGATGGCACGCAAACAATGGACGGCTTTTGCTCTAGAAGCCAACACTCAGCATCAACATCAGTAAGTCTCTCCGTCCATACCTATCCATCCATACACATTCTTCTCTATGTTCTTCAAGGGTACCTCTGTCCCAAATGGTTTGAGGTCCTAAGTTAAATCACTCTCATCCCATTCAAATTAAAGCATTCAAACTAAACCAGGCTTCAGATTTTTTTAAAATAGATTTTCCTAGGAATTGTCTGTGCAAGAGGGTGTCACAACCTTGGTGACAGAACTTCTAATGGACACTCATTCCTTTCTGTCCACTCTCCCTCACACAGTGGAGTTAGGTCAAGTTTCACTGGTGGGCTAGGACTGGATTTTATCAGTAAAGATGATGGCAGTCATATACAGAGCACTACACTTGAAAAAAATCATACAATGGCAGAGAAGACTCTTGGACACTCACCACACATCAGGCACATGCTGAACAATTGGGGTATAATCTTTACTACTTTCAACAGACTCATGTACTCATCAGAGCCAAGTGCTATTACTCTGTAGATCTTTAAATGTGGTAATGGGAATGTGAGATGTAAGCACATATGGTAGTAACTTACAGAGTAGGGATTTGAATTCCATTTTGACTCCTATTTTCAACTATTCAACTATCAAGGATCCATACCAGCTGAGCCACAAAATGAACTGTCTCTGTTTAATCTGGATCGGTGGGATATTCTCATAGACAGCTATGGATGACTAGAAATTCAACAAAATTTTACCATATTTTTATTTCCTTGGCTTTTTGCTTGCAGAAATAACTTTATAATAGCTTAGTTATACAGTAGGATATTCTATCCTTTATCTTTTCTTAAAAGCTTTTTTAGTGCCAAGGAACACATCTTTTGTATTTGCAACTGCTGATCAAGTACAAGCCATCTCAGACCTATCACTTTAGAAGCAGAGCCCATTCACTGAAGAGTTTTCTACATTGGTTGTCCAAAAGCCAGCAAAGTCATGCTGGTGTTGAACATCATGCTGTTCCCTCTGCCTTTCTCTTTCTCTTATTCTGTTGCTCACATGCCAACTTGGTGGCTATTGGATATGCCTGGCCATTAGCTATGCCAACAGGGCTGACTGTACTACCTGTAAGATGCCTAGGTTTAGAGGAGAATGATGATATGTATATGTGTTTCTCTTAATGGTTAATGAATAAAACACTGGTTTACTGATTGGCCAGATAGGAAGTGACATACCTGGGAAGAATTGGGATATAAGCAGGTACAAACAAGAAATCACTTTCTTCTCTGTGGATACACTGAGCAGTAATCATGCAGGCAAAGGAGTTGCAGGTCTGGCATTCTCCAGTAAGCCAAGACCACGTGGAAATAATCCATTAATATAAATGGGTTAATAATTAAGACAGAGCTAGTCAATAAGAAGTCCTAGCCAATGGCCAACAGTTTCTCAATTAATGTGTCTACAAGTGCTTATTTGGGGCTCAAGGCAGAAGGACTCCTGCCAGGTCAAAGAACCTCCGTATAGGAGATGATGGAAAGATAGACAGTCAAGGCTCAATGGTAGGGACAGGAGGGGAGGGAAGCCAGGGTAGGAGGCTGAGGAACAGAGGGAACTGGAAGTGACAAGTGGGTCTGTGAGCCTCCTCTCCTCAGAGACAGATCTCAGGTGGTACATTTCCCTCTTTTTGTCTATAAACAGCACTGGCATCATGAAGGCATAGATGTGAAAGCCATGATGAACACATGGACACTGCAGAAGGGCTTTCCTCTGATAACTATCACTGTAAGAGGGCGAAATGTGCACATGAAGCAAGAACACTACATGAAGGGTTCTGAAAGTATCCCAGAGACTGGGTAATGTTCACAGTGGGTATTTCCTTCTCGGTGGGAGATAATCTTCCTTCTGAAGTCCTGCCTCCATTCCTGTCCTTAGAATGTTTATGTTGAATTTGTGTCACACTCAGTTGACCAATACCCCTACCTTCCCAAAAGGATTAATGGGCTTTGAATATCTATAAAACTGGCCCTCTGTCGTCATCTTTATATTCTCCTGTTTTGCAGTTTAGTATGATGTCATTTCTAGTTATTGATTTGAAGTCAGGTCTGATGTAAGCAAGCAGCTGCTACTAAGTCACAGTAGTGTCTGGCATTGATTGGAGTTAACAGAAGAATTTGTGTGATTTCTGGGAATTAAGAGACAGTTCTCTTCTTTAGAAGTCTGAGTTACGTCCCGGAAGCCCTTAGCTTGTACCCCAGAAGAGTATTATTAGAAATGATATGTTGTTACTTGTAGTATTTGCTGTATCTTGAACTAATCTCAATCAGAACATTACTAAAGTACTGTAAAGAATTTCTACATATGCTGTACACAGATATGTATTAATTCTATCACATTTGATTTATGATTCCCTCTATACATATAAAAAGAAAGCATTATGTAATGTTACATATATGTAGGCAAAATGAATGCATTAGCATATGTAACATATTACATATGTATTATATATACACTAAGATATACAGAGAACTTGTATTTTCAAGAAAATAATAACTTTTACTTATATAACCATAGCATAATTTTCAAAATTAGGAAGTAAAATTGACATAATACTATAATTTAATTTATAACGCCTACCCAATTTTTCAAGTTGTCTTAAAATGTCTTTATATCAAAATAGGAAAATTTTACTCCCAAATTTAGTACATTTTATATTTTGTCACCTTTGGTTTCACTTTTTTTTTGGTAGCAATTTTCCTGTCCTTGTGTCCCTTGACATTTTTGATTTTTCTAGTTCAGGCCTGTTACTTTACTAGAATTTTCTTTGATTTACATTTTCTTCTACTATTTCTTCTTGATCGAATTCAGGTTTAGAGAAACTACACAGAAGAGAAGTGACACATGTCTTTTGGGTACATAATTAAGGAGGGACATTATGCCAATTTGTGCTATTATTAGTGATAATTATTTGGAGTTAGGCTTCAGGCATTAATTACTTGAGTCTGCCTTCCTCTTTCTACATCAGAGTCTGAGAAGGGGGAGGAGTAGCTGAGTTGGAAGGCAGCCTCCGCAGCATGATATCAGGTCTTGGCATAACATTCTTAATACCACTCTGTATTAAGCTATCCTGGCACATGATGGCTAGATGTGTTAGAAGCTGATTGTTGAATGAATAAAAACAATGAGCAATGCATACTTGCTTTCTCTCAGGTACCTGTGGCATGTTCCACTGACATTTATTACCAGCAGGTCAAACTCTGTCCAGAGGTTTTTGCTGAAGACAAAGACAGGTAATTTATTATGGAAATAATTAGTTTAACTCAGGTAAAAAGTATAGCAGTGGGTAGAAATTAGCTACTGAGCTTCTTTAGGTATTAATTTTGGTTAAAAGAGAAGGGAATAGGTTGAGATTTCTTGTTGAATTTGGAAGATGGCTTCACTGATAAGAGTACATATCTTATAAATGTGAGCAGTTACTCTAAAAAAGAAGGTGAATGTTGTGATGCGTGGTGCGTGCTCTTAACCCCAGTGCTGGCAAGGCACAGGCAGAGAGATCGTCACTGGCAAGTCCAAGACCAGTGCTCCTTTTAACCTCTTTTCCTGACAAAAATGTACAGAATCTGAGGGACAGCCAGTGTCATTCTCTGGCCCCACATGTAAGTATACATATATGCCCTCACATAAAGAATTAAATACACATAGAGATTGGATTTTCAGAAAGGAAATTAATGGCATAAAATCAAACATTCAAGTGCTATAGCACTAAAAAGAATAGATTAGTAATAAAAATTCTCATTATTTTGTTAACACTACTGGGAAATATATGTTAGTTGGAAATGTGGTTGATTCATTTTTATAAATTTCATAACATTCTGTGTCTAATGCTACCATTGATATTTATCTACTGGGTGGATGTTATCAGGTTTCTACAAGAAATAAGTAAGCTCCATTTGTTTAGTATTGGAGTTTTCCCCAGTTTCCTCGTATAACCTCAGCTCAGAAAAGCTTCTATCCACCCAACCATTTACTCAAATGGTTCTGAGATTTCTCTGGTTTGCTCTAGATGTGCTCATCCTCCCGGAAGCAGTGGAGTGGATCAAATTTAATGTGGACATGAATGGCTATTACATTGTGCACTATGAGGATGATGGATGGGACTCTCTGAGTGGCCTTTTAAGAAGGGCACACACGACGATCAGCAGTAATGACCGGGCAAGTCTCATCAACAATGCATTTCAGCTTGTCAGGTAATGCAGGCTGCATCAAGTTGTAGTTTATTTCTGAAAGCAGCTGGTATTGTTCAAATACTTGGTTTCTAGAGATGACAGCGTTTGATTGATTCATAGATTGACTGATTGACTGAAACTTTGAAAGGCATCCTCTCCCAAGTTGTTCTAACAGTGCAATCTAGCTTTAGCCTGAAGCTTAACCTTCTGTCTTTAACTGCTAGCTGATGCAAAATTCAGAATCTCTGTCTTAATCTTTCTCATTAATAACAAATCAGGCTAAGGCAAGTATGCAGGAAACCTTGAGACAGTATTCTGGTGGGCCCCTCACCTTTTTCTATAGCCTTGTCCTGTAGCTTTTCTGGTTGTACTGTTGGGATGGGGTTTCTCCCATGCTGGGTCCTTAAACCTCCTGAAGCCATCTTGCAAGACTAATCAATGCAGGCCCAATTGTTCACAGTGCCAAAAGAGAGTTTTTCCTCTGAAGACAATAAGTTCCACAGCATCTTTATGGAATATAATTTATATAATTTTGCCCTATCAAATGATCTTTGACTAACTGAGCCTAGAGTGAACATTATTTTTTCTTCCGTTTTTTAAGTGGGGAAGGAAATATTTTCCAAGCTGAGAACATGAATGTATTTATTATGTAGGCAGTGATGAAGTTCTAAGGGAACTGTCTAGGTGGGATGAGACAGCTTGTAAATCTCAGATCCAATCTCTGTCTACGCTAAATATAGAGTCTTTCCTTTTGGTTCTCTTATTACAATGGGTCTTCCCAAAGTTAAAAACCAAAACAAAACAAAAAAAATAAACAAAATACAAAAAACAAGGAGAAATTAAAAGTTGCCTAACCAGTTGCTTCTTCCTGCACCCAGGTTCATTTGCATGGCCTACTGCAACTGGAATTCTAGAAGGGTCTGCCACCCACTGGATTTTTTAACACATAAGATGCTTTTACGACAGGAATTCTTGTTTTTTCTAGGCACCAGTCTCATTGGCCTGGCTCCCTAAAACATTTTGGATTGAAGTTCTTAGTTTAGTCTGAAAGTTCAACACACAGTTTGGTGTATTCTATGTGACAGACACCAACATGCACAATTTCCTCTTAGTTGGACTAATTATAAATCTTCTTCCCCAGTGTCATCTTATGGATAACACAAATGATTCTAATGCAAAAAGTCATTATTTCTCAATGATTGCTGCTTTTCTCGGATTATTGCAATCTATGTTGAAGCAGAAAGATGATTACCTATAAACCTGTAACCATGTTGTCTCTCGCTCAGCATTGGAAAGTTATCGATTGAAAAAGCCCTGGATTTAACCCTGTACTTGAAAAATGAAACAGAAATTATGCCTGTCTTCCAAGGTTTGAATGAACTGATACCTATGTATAAGTTAATGGAGAAAAGAGATATGAATCAGGTGGAATCTCAATTTAAGGTAAAGCCTGAAATGAATCAAATAGCTATAGTATAATTGTATTTTTTCTTATGGATGAAAATGTGTTTATTATACTATGTATTTGAATGTATGTATACATACAAATACTCATGTATATCCTCTTATACATTAAGGAAAAGCAAATAAAAATTTAGTTTGGATTGACTAACAAAGGTCTGGCTTTGGGTAGTAATAGGAATAGTGGTGTTAGGTTCTGTACTTAATTTTCACATTTTGTTTTTTTCTCACAAGTATTTTATTTCACTTCATTTATCTGTTATAATTATTAATCATGATTCTAGGTGGTACTTGAAGAGATCCAAAATTGCTCTTTTTTGATCAAATATTGTGAGGACTTATACACTTTGGTCATAAATTTTAATCTTTCATCTTGATTTAAGTAGGTGGGATAACTTCAGAAAAAATTACAGTGGTAATTGTAGACAGAGTTTTGTTCTGCCTGGTCCCGCAGCCAGTTAGTCCCAAAAGATTACACATAGAGGCTTATATTAATTATAAATTCTTTGTCCTATGGCTCAGGCTTTTTTATTTTTATTTTTTTCATTAAAATAGGTTATTTTTAATTTTACATACAATCTCAGTTCCTCCTCTTTCTCTCCCTCCCTCCTTCCCTCCATCCCTCTCTTTCACCCTCCATCCCTCCTCCCCCCACACTTCACATGTAGGGTGATGCTTTCCAGGAGGGTCATCTAAATCTGTCAAGTCATTTGAAGTAGGGACTAGGACTTCTCTCCTGTCTCTAGGTTAAGGCAGTTATCCCTCCATGGGGGATGTGCCTGCAAGGTCCTTTTGTGCACCAGGAATACATCCTGGTTCCACTGTCTGAGCTCCCTTAGACTGCTCAGGCCTTTTAGCTGAGACCCATGTTCAGGGGGTCTGGGTCAATCCCATGCCGGATTCCCAGCTATCAGTCTGGGGGTCCATTAGCTCCTCCTTATTCAGGTCAGCTGTCTCTTTGTGTTTCTGTAGCCTGGTCTTATCCTCCCTCTCTGCATCTGGATGGCTCAGCCATTAAAGGCTAGGTTCACAACCAAAAATATAAGGGCTCAGGCTTCTTATTGACTAGCTCTCTCTTAATTATTAATCCATTTCTATTAGACTGTGTATCTCCACATATTTTTGGCTTGCTGGTGATGCCTGGACCTCTTGCTCCCTCAGCAGCTGCATGGCATCCCTTGTGGCTCCTCTCTGCCTTCTTTTTCCCAGCATTCTCCTAGTCTGGTAGCCCCGCCTATACTTCCTGCCTGGCTACTGACCAATCAGCATTCATTCATCAACCAATAAGAGAAACACATATTCACAGCATAAAAGGACATCTGCCATCAAATATTATTAAAATATTTTTGTTTTTTTCTTTTTTTTCCTTTTATAATTAAATAGAGTCCCAAACATTTAAAGGGGTGGGGTTGAATCTTAAGGATTAGTTCCATTTGACTTTTTTTTTTCCTGAAAAGGACCATTGACTCAACATTATTAAAATACATTCACTATGTATTTATGTGAGGTTTCTCATCACCAGGAGAACTATACTGTGTAATATGACATTCTGGGACAGTACTCATAATACTTGTCACTCTTTCTGTCCTGTTCCTCAGGCCTTCCTGCTCAGGCTGCTGAAGGACCTTATTGATAAGCAGACATGGGCAGATGAGGGCTCTGTCTCACAGAGGATGCTCAGGAACCAGCTCCTCCTCCTCGCATGTGTACGCAAGTATCAGCCCTGTGTGCAGAGGGCAGAGGGCTATTTCAGAGAGTGGAAGGCATCCAATGGAACCCTGAGGTCAGTCCACACTGAACATGCAGTCTATTGATGTAAAGGGTATCCTTACTATTCCCCATCATTGGCACTACTCACGGGAAGAAGCAGGGTAGACACATCTTCCCTACTTCACATTTTTGAAAAAAAAAAATTTGGAAAAAATTAAAATTTATATATCTCTCAACTTTCTATTTTTAGAAATGAAACAAGGAACTTTTGTGACTAAAAATTAATGTCTGGGGGTGGAGTCAAAACATGATTACAATAACTCCTACAGGCCAAAACAGAGGATGTATTTTTACAGGAGTTTACGTTTTCAAAAACCCTGTCCAGAGTATCCAGTAATTGTTCACATTGGAAAGATAGCCTAGCAGTATCTGAAAGCTCCAACTCCTGGTAGTCCTTTTTGTATTTGGAAATTAATGATATCCAGGAATCATTTATGGAAACCATCTGGATACTAGCCTTTGAAAAACATGTCTACTAATCATAATGTTATGGAGATTCCTGACTTTTCATGAAATAAATTTTGAGTCTCAATGAAATTTCTTTCTCATCATTTAAAAGGTACATTAGATATGTAGGCATTTATGAGTAACATTATTGTATTCTGAGGCTGCTCAAATCTTATTTTAGACATTTTCTCTCGCCTCTTTCCATAAAGTGTAACAGAAGGAAACAGTAATTTATGTTTTTAGGAATGAACCTGTGAGCATAAAACTAATTCATAATTGCTCCCCAGTCTCAGGATCTTACTGGTTTATTCTTTCCCACAGCCTCCCTGTCGATGTGACCATGGCAGTGTTTGCTGTGGGGGCCCAGAACACAGAAGGCTGGGATTTTCTTTATAGTAAATATCAGTCGTATTTGTCTGCTACTGAAAAAAGCCAAATTGAATTTGCCCTCTGCACAAGCCAAGACCCGGAAAAGCTTCAGTGGTGAGTCATGCACTGATGTCCACATGGCCAAGGGAAAATGAATGATATTGATCATTCTGGCACATGTTTTTGCTCTATTATAGCAGAATTATTTATTCTGTTAGAAACTGTGCAAATGGGTACACACTTATTGAGGATGCTAAGTAATTAGAACCAAATATTGGGAAAATATTTAATGAGTATTGTTATGAGCAGGTTTTCCCTGCCGGTCTGGTCCCACCACCGTGCCAGCCCCAAATAACACACAGAGTTTCTGTATTAGATATAATTTGTTGGCCTGTTACTAGTTTCTTATCGGCTAGATCTGTCTTAAATATTAACCCATTTCTATTAATCTCAGTACTTCTATGTAGTCTTATCTTACTGGAGAGAGGAGCTGGTGTTCTTTCTCTGTCCTCCATCTTGAATCTCCTCCTACTTCCTCTCTCCTCCTTGTCTCCTCGTCCCACCTATCTTGCTTTCCTATTGGCCAGCAGTGCTTTGTTCATTAACCAATAAGAGAAACATATTTACAGAATGACATCTCCCATTAGAGTATGTATTGTGTGTCTTTACAGCAGAAACATATTTGAAATATTTAGGGATACTTCTAGAAATAGTTTTGAGGAAATGAGATATTATTTGGTATAGGTCTTTTAAACAAGTACTTAAATGTTGGTTCTTAATCATATTGCTATAGTGGGTTTACCAAGACTCTACCAGTTTACCTTTTTGGACCTTATTATGGGCAAACAGATTTTTTTTTTTGTGTGTTATTTTATTGAACATTTTTGTAACTCCTCAATCACTTATAATTCATTACTAACATTTCTTTTTATAATCATTACAGGCTTCTAGAGCAAAGTTTTAAGGGAGATACAATAAAAACTCAGGAATTTCCACATATTCTCATACTAATTGGCAGAAACCCAGTGGGCTATCCATTGGCCTGGAAGTTTCTGAGGGAAAATTGGAATAAACTTGTACAAAAGTAAGTAGTGCCAAAAATTGTGCTGGGACTTTTGTATTCTTTCACACATACCTCCCCTCCCGTGTGTGTTTAACCTTTGCTATTTATATGAAGGAGTATCTTTGGTTGAAGATAACTTTTCACATTCAAATGTCCTTATGCCATGTAAAATCCATGCTTCTGAATAGTAATGCTTTCCACCCCAGTACTTTTTCTTGTACTCCTTAGCTTGCCTGAAGCCCCCCTCCTCCGAGGTCTGTGTAGCTTTCCCCTAGGTCTTACAGCAGTTCCCAGAGCTGTCATTTCTCTTAGTTTCTTAATCCTTTAATTAGCTCTTGGCATGGATTACATTTTACAAATAGATTGTTTAAATGTATAGGCTATATAAGACACTTAAAATGTAAATTGAATGGACACCTTTTGTCATTTTTAGATTTGAACTTGGCTCATCGGCCATAGCTTACATGGTAATGGGAACAACAAACCAGTTTTCTACCAGAGCACGTCTTGAAGAGGTAAAGGGGCTTATGTGTGAAAAAAAAAATTTTTTTTGAACTTAAGTGTCAACAAGCTAGTATAAAAGAGCAGGAATGAAAGTTGTGGTATTTTGAGAATTAGTCTTGTCATTTGATGCAATTTTTGAGTTCCAATGAACATGCCTTTTACGAGACAAGCTTTGCTCTGCAATGAAAAACTTGGACTTGCCAGGTAGAATGGCATATGCTTTTAATCCAAGCAATCTAGAGGCAGCAGCAGGCAGGTAACTGAGTTAAAAGCCAGCCTGGTCTACAAAGCAAATTGCAGGCTAGTTAGGATTACATAGTGACACTTTGTCTCAAAACAAAATAAAAACCAACAGTAAAAACCTTCAGAAAAAAAAAATAAGACTCAATACAATTGACCTTCATTTAAATAAGTTACAAGTGATTTAAATAAGTTACAAGTGAATCCTAGGTGGTCATGTGGTGATCAGCTATTTTGAAAGAGGCAGAGAGGATTCAGGTGCTTCAGGATTCAAAATGTTTCTCTTCTCACTTACAGTATCATATACTTCCCCAAAGAATGTTATACATTTATAAGATCCATCCATGAAATAAATATTAAATAAATGAAAAGCTGCATAGAAGATATGCATAGGAGATAACTATAGGAGGGGCTTAAATTGAAGGGACTTACTGCAGGGACATTTAACAGTTATCACAGGGAAGTGGTCAGGCAAAAATGAGAACCTGGTATGAAAGTGTGTGGTAAGAAGGACTAAGAGACACGTACATAAATTCTATAAAAGGAAACTTTCTTCCACCCTTCTAAGCAGAAAGGCGTGTCTGAATTGGGTACTCAGTCAAAAGGCACAAGCTGGGACCAGGAGAAGTGTTAAGAGCTGGCTTTGCTGGAGCTTGTGTAGAAGTCCACATTTTAGCCATGAAATCACAATGGGCTCCTTGAGGATAAATGACATATTTTAGAAAAGTGAAGCCAAATTATTGATGTCTTGTTGATGAGTGCCCAAAGTGATAAGGAATCAATCAGTAGACCGAGCTAAAGCTCAGGGTTGGGTAGGGAGAGGGAATGTCTGCTCTCTTCCCCAGCAATTAGACTCCCAAGTAATTTTAGGACAACTGCATCTGTTCTCACTGGAACTCCATCTTTATTCCACCTTCTATTGGGAAACTCATAACATGGTATTATAATATGAATTTTTGAGGAATCAGCTATCTGGAATTCATGCTAAATAAGTAGTACATCTTGGCCTATATTTGCTTCCTGACTACAAAAAAAAATGGATTAATGCTGTGAAAATTTATGGGTTATTGTTAAGAATTCTTGAAGGTGAAAGGAAATGCTACAGTTTTGAGTGCTTTGGCAAAGGCAGACTATCCATCATTTGAGCTTAAGGGTTCAGATACCAAAGGATGCAACAAGAATAAAGATGCATTTTGAGGAGAGCGATGCAGTGTCTTATCTTTCCAGAACTGTGGAAAACTCTCTGTAGGTTGTATCTGGAAGGAATAAAGCAGGAATTGTGAATTCAGATAAAAATCTTGAAAAGGTTTGGGATCAGCCCCAGAGAGAGACTGCATTTATGTCATTGAAGTTTTCCATGGCAAAGAAAATAATCTAGACATTTTTCTTTCCAGATAGCATATTTAAGAACTTAAGTCTATATGTTTGTATATATAAAAGAATCTATATTAAATAGACACACTCAAACCTTAATTATGAAATGGTAAATCACAAAGCTTTTTAAAGTCTAGCAACTGTGAATAAATAGAAATACAGAAAAATCCAAAAGAACCTGATACCATATGTCATGAACTCATTTTGTGTAAGTTATACATAATCATATCCAGATCCTTTGGATGTCTTTCTATATAGAATGTTAGCAAATGCTAGCCTTCTGGCTTGGCTTTTAATTGCCCTTAAATAACCATTTGCTTAAATGCAACAAAACTAATGCTTTGAAAATTCACCTTTTCCTTCCAAGGTAAAAGGATTCTTCAGCTCTTTGAAAGAAAATGGCTCTCAGCTCCGTTGTGTTCAACAAACCATTGAGGCTATTGAGGAAAACATACGATGGATGGATAAGAATTTTGAAAAAATCAGATTATGGCTGCAAAAACAAAAGCTGGAAATGTGACAGTTTGTTTCTTACCAAGTTCCTGTGATTTATAATCAGCAAAATTTTGTTCAATTTGAGTACTTTCAAACTAAAGATGGTTGTTTTGGCTCTCACTGAAGATATTTTCTTATTTTATTGCACTTGATCATGTTCAAGAAAAGATTGTCTTCAGTGCCTGTTGCTGCTATGGCTCTGGCTGACAGGTGTGGCCCTGCAGTATAAAGCCAAGTGCCCAGCTCCTTGCCACAGAAAAGCTGAGGGGCTACTTTTCATTTCATACATCACGCTTCAGCCCTGCAGCTCGCAAACCTTTGTGCCTCCCTGTGTCAGTCATTCGTCAGTGTCTGTGGAGAGTGAGGCACATGTGTAGCGAATGCTTGGATTGCTAGCCACACTGGAAAATGGCTGTGGGACAGTGCACCCGATGCCCGCTCTGAGTCTGCTGTACATCCTGTCTTCCTAGCTTCGTGTATGGCTGCTGCCTTGCAAGGTTCAGTTAACCAGACAGCTTTGCCCACTGGGTTTTTACTGATAGACAAATCTAGGAGTTTGGAGTTGGGATCCAGGAGGGAGCGGGTAGAGGTATTTATTTCCCTGTGTTTACCTCTGGCACCACAAGTCTTACTCTTGAGAGGATCCGTCTTTTTCACAGTCCTTTTCTATTTCTTGTCTCTAGTAACTGCTTCCTCCTCATCCATCCAGGGAAGGGACGATAGTGGGAACCTGACGATACCAGTAGTAGTCCCGGTCATTTTTACACACCCTACTTGAACTTTTGTAAAAAAGAAAAGGTGCATCTAGAACCATCCTCAGATAAGTCAAATACGATAGTCACCTACTTTCTCTGGAACCTCACTTCTGAAAGAACAGGGTTTTCAGGTCTGTATAAGAAAATCCCTTCACTTTGGGAGCATGTTCCCCATGGAGGGATACTTAACCTAGAGGCAGGGGGAGGGCCTAGACCCTGCTCCAAATGACTTGACAGACTTAGATGACCGCTCCAGGAAGGCATCACCCTACATGTGGAGTGGGGGAGGGGATGGGATGGGAGGGTGGTTGGGGGGCATGGGAGGGTGGAAGAGAGGGAGGGAGGGACAGAGAGGGGACTGGGATCGATATGTAAAATAAGAAAAATAAATAAATGAATAAAAAAGAAAAGAAAGCCCCTTCCTTTTAAGATATTCTGGAGAGCCACTGGCCCTTAAGTAAGGAGTGGTGTTTTAAATTTCTGAATAACTCCTATTGGTACTTAGCAATCAAGAATAATATGAATAATGCACTTATATTAGTATAAGGAAAGAATTCTTTAAGTCTTACATAAGAATTTTTAGATATATGGCATAAATTTCAGGGTAAATGAATATGACTGATAGGAACAATGTCAACTATAGTGCTGTACTATGTAGTACGGAACAGAGAGACTGTGGGGTGGGGGCTCAAGTATCACAAGTTCCATGCATTCATTGATCTAACAAAAACGCCTGAGGTAGTCAGCTTAAACAAGGAAAGATTTTGGTTCAGTGCTTTTAGTCTGGGTTGCCGGCTCTGATGTTACAAGCCTCTGGTGACACATTATCAATACCATACAGTTATCAGGGAAGAATGCTTACCCGGTAGTGACCAAACAACAGAAGAAGGGCCAGAGAGTAGTCTGGGGATACAGTATGCTGTGTCACAGTATACTGTCAAAGCCATACTTCTAAGACTGGACCTGCTTCCTCCATCTAACACCTACCACCTAATAGCCCATTCAGATATGAAGTCCTAAGTGAACTGGAGACTGCAAATGCATTATTGCACGAAAGAGCCGAGCCCTCAGGGTCCAGTCCCCTCTCTTACTATTGCCAACAACAGCTGGGAACCCAGGACTTCAACACATGAGCCTGCTGTAGGGATAGTTCATATCCAAACCACAACAAGTATGTTTACAATTCTATTTTTTATATTGACTGCATGGTTATGGCTTGAGAATAAAATAAAAACAATTCACTGGTAATTTTTTTCCTACAGTCTACATCTGCAAAAAAACACACAGCCAAGATTTTCATGTAAAATATTTTCCTTTAATTGCATTTTATATCTTGATTAATGATATACAAACACTGACTTTTTTTTTTTTTTGCTTTGGTCACTTTCATTTTTGGAAAACCCCACTTTCTAAACATTAAATTATTATGTGCAGTAACTTTTTGGTAATAAAATCCACCTATTCTTATTTCTAAGGAGATAGTTGCAATTATTTTGTCTCCACTAGATGGATTATAAAAACAAAAAATAAAAAGGACCCCTATAGATCCCATGACTTATGCAAGTCTCTGTGAGTTACCAGCAAACACTCAAGTCTTGAGGATATTCTCAATTAAAAAAAAATTTTAGGTACCTCAACTTTATGTCTGATTTTATAGGCACTTTTAAATTTATGTATTTTGTTACATCATTTAAAAATACTACTATGTGTGCATGGATGTTTGTATACTACAGCCATGGCCTTGGAGGTATGTTTGTCAAAGTCAAAGGTTTCAGGATTTTTTTTTTTTTTTTTTGAAATGAAAAGAGCAAACACCTGTACTACCCAGATCCCAGTATTAGACACCAATGGGTTCAAATCTCTTAGGGAGTACATTCTTTTATTGTCAGTGCCTTGTAAACAGAACAGTGGCCACCCTTTTTATGGGACTGGGAATTCAACACTTCATGGGTAGAATTTGACGTTTAAAAGGTGCATGGATGTTTTGTAGAGACTACTTTTGGAGATGGTTAAGAAATATGTTCATTATGAGTGCCATTACTTTTGCTTGGTCTTGCCTGCCCCCTAGGTGATGCTAGTAAAGTTAATTCAATCCTGACAAAATCTTTGCATTGATAGTAAAGAAGGCTGTGATCTGTGGAAACAAGAAGTCTGGTTTACATATACACCTGAATCTTTTCCAGCATTCAGTGCTAGGAAGTATATATATATAACTGTTTATCAAAATTTGATCAACGATACCAGTGCAGTGCTCAGAGATACCATTTGAAGATGTTAGGGTATCTTAACCTGCTTTGAAGCAGATTTTAAATTTCAGTATTTACATATTTTATGCGTGTGTGTGTGTGTGTGTGTCTACATTATTTTTAAAGAAATTCATTTTTGTGTTTGGTAAATTTGACTTCCATATGCCAATAAAGACAATTTGGCAAATAGTTCTAAGCAAATAATTGCAATCTGAGATTATAGAGAGTGGAAACCATAGCTTAATGCCACGATGGCAAACTAGTATATAGTTCAAGCCATATGAGTATTCTAGGAATTCCAACTTTATTGTTGAATCTTGCTGTGCAGTGATGTTTCTACCCTGTGCTTTGTTCTTCTGCTGACTTAGATCATGTTTCAGTGTGTTGTCTCTGGCCGGAAGCAGACATCCCCATTTTTAGTAAAGGAGAGATCAGGTACAAAAGAAGACTGGTGTTCCCTGGTTTGCCCAGGTTATTTATCATTAATTTATTACTAGCAGCCCCAAAAGAGTTACGTGCTCAATGTACAATATTTTATATCTGACTTATCAACATTAACCCAAAGATACATCAAATACAGTTCAAAAGCCCAAAAGGAAAAGAGGTAATAAGAAATCAGAATACTGATGAAAGATGAGTGCATCATTTTTCAAATGCTAAAAAATTAAGTGCAAACCAAAAATACTAATGAGATTTACAGGCACTGTATGTATCATGTGCAAAAGTTTGCAAAGGTTTTCTGTGGTTTTTTTGTTTTTTGTTTTTTTTTTTTTTGGTGTATGTTTTAAGAAACTATCAAATATATTTCTTACAAATATAAAGCTTTCTTCTCCCACCTAAAGGCAATTAAAATTTTTTGAACTTTATCCATACTCAATACAGTAACACAGGCATACCAAATTCATTTTCTTTTTTGGAAAACAACAACAAACCAATGTTTAGACGTCAAATGACATAACAAATAGCCCTGTCTAGAAACCACCCAGAAAAATTGTCACCAAAGCCGTTGTTCTTCAAAAGTCACCATCTACCAGCTGAAGAATTTCTATTCAGATACCCTGAAAATACAAGGAAATATGAATGGGTTATTAATATAGCATGGTCACTTAACTCTGAGAAAATCTGGAGTAGTTCTTTCTGGTGTCCCGATTCCTCTACAGGAAATGAAGTGGATCAAGGTAAAAGAGCTTGGACTGATTTACCTCACAGTTTTCTTTGGAAAGATCCCCGCTTTACGTTTTCAGTTAGGGTGTGTATGCCACAGTATGCATGTGGAGTCAGAGGGCAACTTCGTGGATCTACCACGTTGATCCCAAAGATGGAACTTGGGTGGTCAGCTAGGTGCTTGGCATCTTTGCCTGCTGAGTCACCAGGCCAGCCCCATTTCAATATTTTTTATTTTATGACTTCTAGGAAGGCCAGAACCCATCTATTGAGTGATATGTAAGAAATCAATTGCTGTCCTTTCCAAAACTGAGGCAAATAAACAAGATTAAAAGTTAAACTGCCTCTGTTCCCAAACCATGATTTCTACCACTCAGCATGATTGGTATTTCAGATATCAATTAATGCCATTTTGCTACAAATTATAGTTTGTTAATTTGTTTTGCAACAAAAACCCGTACAACCATCTGTATTTCAAAGATTTCATTAGATTCTGGTATATGAGTTTCTTTAAAAGCCTTAAAAGTCTGAATACTTTCAAGGTTTGTTTTTTTTTTTTTTCCCAATACAGGGTTTCTTTGTGTAACCCTACCTATCTTGGAACTTACTCTGTAGACTAGGCTGGCCTTGAACTTACAAAAACCCATCTGCCTCTGCCTCCTGAGTGCTGAGATTAAAGGAGTGTGCCACCACCTCCCTACTCCTTAGGGAACTCTTTAGTTCTTAGTCATATACATTCTAATAACACAATAATCCCTTTAGTACTTTTTAGAGAAGGGAATGCTTTGAACTTTGCAACTTGTGTTTCCTGAGAGTAGTACATAACAAGTATGAAATACTCAAGAGATACACTTTGCATCTCTTCCCATAATGCAGACTTCTAGAAGGGACAGTTATTGCTATTTACAGTGAAAACTCAACTTACCAAATGTGTAACTTTAGCTTCCATTTTTGTCAGTCTTTGGAATGGACGCTTCTTCTGACTTCTAAGAGGGAATCAAAGCTAGAGTCAGTGCTTTCATTTCTACATTAGAATTCCCCCTGTTTCACCAGGAGACTTTAATGGGAAAACTGGCTCTTGGGGGGTAAAAGACAGAAGATAAAGGGGGCGGGGTCAGAGGCCTAGCCTGTTTTTCTTCATTTGTCACCAACATACTCTGCCCTTACACTCTGTTTTAAGTTATAAGCTATAAGTAGCCATAGTTCATCCTACATATTCCACTCTAAACTTTTTTTCTTTATTGGTCCCAATGAGAAACTTTCAAATGCAGAAGTATTTCTGGAATTAGACAGTGTTTCACCATCCTCCAATGACTCCATCCTTTTCTGCACTGGGAAGGGGATGGCTGACTCATCTCCACTGTATAGGGCAATTACATTTTTTACTTTTTGTAAGTGGGTTGATTGGACACTTTTAGGATTATAATTACATGATAAGGGATTGATAATTTAACCTATTTGAGACATAATGTAACCTGTGATGAAATCAATTACACCAAGACTTCATTAGCTTGTTCTTAAGAAATGCTGATGTAATCAATGGAAAAAAGGGGGCCATGAATTTGAAAGAGAGCAAGGAGGGATATATCAGAGAGTCTGGAGAAAGGAAAGGGAAGGGGGAAATGATTAATTACATTACAATCTCAAAAATAAAAGGAAAAAAGTAGTGTTGATGCAATTAGACTATTAGGGTCTTTAATTTCTCATTATTGTCAGAAGATTGTAGTTATTTAGACATACAAAGAATTGGAAAGAACTTAAGAGTTGTCTGAGCTAATATCCATTCTGACTACAGCTTGAGGAATTTTAGTGACAGGAAATGTCCAACTATTGTTCTACATATGCTCAGTTCTCAACACTTAGCTTGAGACTGTAACTTCCACCCATTAGTTTTCATTCTACTTTGGACTACATGGAAAGTTATGTATTGCTATATGAATTGGATATTGAATGCCCCCCAAAGAGCCATGTTTAAATTCTTGGCCTCAGGCTAGAACTGCTCAGGGGTGCTATAGACTTTTACAAATAGGGCCTTATATGATGTCCTTAGGCTTTTGCCGGTGTGCCCTATCTCACTCAGTGTTGTGGTACCTCGTTTCTTCTGTATTTCCTGACTCATGAGGTGAGCAGTTTGCCCCCCTGCAACACATTACTATTATAAAGCACTACCTCCCATCCAAGCACTAACCAGGCCTGACCCTGCTTAGCTTCTGAGATCAGACAAGATCGGGCACATTCAGGGTAGAGAAATGTTCAGAGACTTACAAGGATGACCCCAACTAACAATCTGAGCAACAGTGGAAAGGCTACCTTAAATGCCTTTCCCTGATAATGAGATTGATGACTAACTTATATGCCATCACAGAGCCCTCGTCTAGTAGCTGATGGAAACAGAAGCAGACACTCACAGGTAAACACTGAGCCGAATTCCTGGAATCCAGTTGCAGAGAGGGAGGAGTGATAAGAAAATCAGGTCAAGACAAGGCTACAGAAACCCACAGAGACAGCTGACCTGAATAAGGGGGAGCTCATGGACCTCAAACTAATAGCTGGGAAACCAGCATTGGACCGACTCAGATCCCCTGAATGTGGGTCTCAGTTAGAAGGACTGGGCAGTCTAAGGGACCTCTGACAGTGGAACCAGTATATATTCCTGGTGCACGAAAGGACTTGGGGAGCACATTCCCCATGTAGGGATACTCCCTTAAACTAGAGGCAGGAGGGAGGGCCTAGTCTTTACTCCAAATGACTTGACAGATTTTGTTGACCCCTCCTGGAAGGCATCACCCTCCCTGTGGAGTGAGAGGGGGATGGGAGGGGGGTCAGAAGGGGGCATGTGATGGAGAGGGAACTGAGATTGATATGTAAAATAAGAAAAAATAGTATATTAAAAAAGTAAAAACTAAAAAAGAAATTTGAAAAAAAAAAAAAAGCTCTGTCTCATGAGAGGAACAAAGCAATATGATAATCGACATAAAATGGAGCCCCTAAAACCATGATCAGAGTCAATCTTTCTTTGTAACTTAATTATGTCAAGTATACAGTGACATAATGCTGGTCATTACATGAATTGTCTCATTACTTATTAATTTCCCTCCCAAACACTGTCCAACCAACACTGGACTGTGAAACTCTACTATCTTCCCTAACTTTATAAATTACCTTCTGCCCTAGTTAGAGCTCTGTCAACGTAGTACTGCCTAGAGGCACCAGAGAGATCGTCCAGTTCAGGCTGCTCTGTGGGCTTGTCAGTGGAGCACTGTCTTGACTGGCAATTGATGTAAGAGGGCCTAGTCCACTGTGAGCAGCATTAATCCCTAGCAACTGGGCCTGGCTTGTATAAAACAGCTGGCTAAGCATGGGTCCGTGAGAGAGCTAGCAAGCGGCCTTAGTCCCATGGTTTCTGCTTGAGTTCCTGCCTTTTCTCAATGATTGGATGTGCTCTGGAAGTGTAAGCCAAATAAATCCTGTTCTCCATTAAGGTACTTTTTATTAGAGTGTTTTATTATAGCACCAGAAATCAAACTAGAATAACTTCCATGTTATAAAATCTATGTAAATCACATGCTCTGCTGGTACTGTAATAAAAGCAAGAACCAAGCCATTTGAATTGTGTGAAGGACAAATTTCATTTATATTTTCAAAGCATCAGTTACTGAAAACACATTACATATACATGCATATAATATGTGTTCCTATCTTTAAAGCTTCAACTTAAATAACTTCCAGAATCATTTTTTAAAATTTTATATGTACTGATATTTTGCCTGCATGTATATCTGTGTACCACATGCATGCCTGGTGCGCCCAGAGGCTGGAAAAGGGCAGCCTATCCCCCGAAACAGGAGGTATAGATGGTTGTATACCACACGTGGGTAGTGGGAACCAAATCCAGATCCCCCAAAAGCAGTCAGTGCTTTTCACAGCTCAGCCATTGCTGAGGCATATTTATTTATTCATTCACTTATTTATCTATCTATTCATCTGACTGGTATCTATTTTAGTAAGGCACGCTAGGAGATAGCCATGGCTTAAAAGTCTTTCACTCTAAATAGTTTACAGTAACAAGCTAAATCACCAACAGATAAATCTTACTTCCTTGCAATTGTTAAACCAATAATGGTATGTTTATGGCCATGTTTACCTTGGGGGAGTCCTTTGTTTTCACTCCATTCTTGGGTGCTTTGGAACTTGAAACCATCTTCTTGCTCTTCTCCTAAAGCAATGGAAATGTAATGAGGCTATTGCCATCACCAATCCATGGAGACCCTGGTCACCAGATGAATCCAGAATACTCTTGCTAATAGCCTGCGCATCCCCAACCTAACTGTGTAAAAATATGTAGCTTGGTACTAATCTTTGAAATAAAAGTGAATATACCCATATTTTAGTCAGGACATAAAAAATTGGTGTTTAATATATCCCATCATTTCACGTGAACCTTAAATACATACCTACAATTTTATTTTAGAAAAAATAAATCAGAGGTTTTCTTTACTGAGGCTGACGTTTATGTGCCATGGAAGAGAGCAAAAACAAAACCTAACTCATGCCTTCAGTGTTGCAGAGAAACTTACAGAAAGCTGTATAGCCTGCACGCAAAAGCACAGAACATTTACCAAAAAAAGGATACAAAGGAAAGAATAGATTGGAATGGAATGGAGAGAAAGCAGGGGAGGGAGGAAAGGGATGGGAAAATAAAGAGGGGCAAGGGAAAAAGAGGAAATCATAGGAAAGGGGACAGAAACATCAATTAGGCATTTCAAGAAGAGAGGTAGGAGGCTGAGGGAGTCTGTAAATTAAATCACTTGGTGTGGAGGACATGATTGCGAGCTGTGCTTAAAAGCAGCCAAAACAATGCACACAGACCGCAACACCCACCCTTCCTTTTGTGTGACTTACGAGATGTGCTCTATAGCTTAAGTGCACTTCAACTGCTGAATTATACAGTTGTTTTCATTCATTTACTAACATATATTCATGAAACAAAACCATGGATTTAGTTCTTTATTCAGTTCAGATGATATGTTTTGAGCACTTACTGAATATAAGCACCCTGATGATCTGGGCACAGAAATCAAATATCCATCTACTATATGCAGCTCCCAGCTCAAGGGGAAGTAAGTAGCTGGTGAAAGGCGACCACGTGTGAGGAGAGAGTGTGCAAAGGCTGCTGGGGTAGCCTGAGAGGGATCAAAGACCAGAAGTGGCCTGCAGAGCCTGAGTCAGCCAGCTTCAGCAGGAGGGGGACAAATGAGCAGAAGAGGGGCTAGGCCGGCAAAGACTGTAATGAGAAGTGAGCACAGACAGACTTGTCACTCACAAAACCACATGGCAAACAAAAATGTTGGCTTTGGAGGTTACAGGCCACATGCAGAACCTAGATGAAATGCTACCTAGCTATGTGTAATAAACAAACCATGAGGGCAATTTTGTAAAAATGTTACTGACAAAGGCAAGGAAATATGTCAACTCATAGTGCTGTAGGCAGTAGAATTATACCTTTCCTTTAAGGGCCTCTATAATATTATTCTACTCATTCTACACTGTGAAAATTACACAGACTCATGCTCATGTGTAGTTCAAAGAAATCAGTATGACAGACCTTTGCTGTATTCTGTGAGGTCTCTGTAGTTGAGGGGCAGTTGTCGAAATCTTCCGAGAGGGAATCAATGGGATCCTGGTCATGATCAGGCTTCTATGATGTTAGCATAAACACATGAAGATGACGATCTCACATAATAAACAGTAATATATGTTTAACAAGAAAAGATCACTGGCATTTGTTTTTCTAAGAAGACTACACTGTGTAAAGGAGACATACAGCATGAAAACCTGAACATTTTCATTTTTTCATATTCTTTTATTTTGGGGGGCAAGGGGACAGTCTCATGTAGCCTAAGCCAACCTCAAACTCTCTGTAACTGTGAACTTTTTATTTTTCTGTTTCCCTTACCAAGAGTTGAGGTTATAGGCATGCACCACCATGCTTAGTTCATCTTACGCTTTTTACTACGAGTTTTCTCACTCTGAAATCTGCCACTACTTTTTAAAAGGCTCTCGTGAGAAATAAATTAGTTAGTTAATATAGGCATATCTGCCCGAAACAAAAATATTTGTTAAATTTTAGTTTCTTTAAAGTTTAAAAGAAGGCTACATCTATACTAAGAACAATGAAAGTATACATTATGGTATTTACCTTTGATTTCTTTGTAGGTGGCTTCTCTGGTTTACCCTTAAAAACAAGGTAGATGATTATTTAACCACATTTCTGTATAGGCTCATTCAGTCAGAGACAGTATTTTTAGAATTCATTATTCAAGGACTCTACAGAATTGATACACTTGTCATCTAACCCAGATCTCTACCAGATCCCCACCTTCACAGCCATTTCAGTAGCCAAGGCATACAAGAATTCGATTCTGGAAGTGGCACAGGCTCTATGTAGGAATTGTCTGACATCAGATATTAAAATTTATATCCACTTAAGCTATATGAGCTACATGCCTAGTCCTCTTTTTCCTTTTTTTATGCTTTTGTTATTGTTCACTGCTGTTGTTTTGTTTTCTTTAAAAACATTAAGTTGCCCAGGCTTGCCTTGAACTTCCAATGCTTTTTCCTCAGCCTTCTGAATAACTGACTATAGGCCTGACCAAGCCTGATTCTCATTGTATTTTCAAAAGATCTGAAGATTATTATTTGAGACAGGAATCACAAGTACCACTAACTTCTAGGGCTTTTGTCTATCTTAAGGCAAGGGCTAAATGAAACACCTCCCCTGATGGCAAGCAAGATGATGTGGCAGTATCAGCATTGGGGATGGTGAATGATAGCACACAGAATTGCCAGGGATACTTAATGGAAGCAAAATGAACGACTTCTATTCTGGCAGACACTAAGATTTGGTCAGAGAGGGCTTCCCCAACTGAAGGTTTCAGGGCATACAGATAGGACTTGGACTCTCTTGCTCTGTTTGATGAGCAGGCTTGGGAAGGATGACTCATCCATCCTCAAACAGAAAGGGGGAGGCAGTCAGAGTGGCTTAAGGAAACAAAAATTTAGGGACTCTGTAATGGGGAAACAGGTGACTGTCGAGAGGTTTTATCTGTTCTCAGGTTCTGCAGTCCCATGGGAAAAGGGAGGTGGGCAGTCTTGCTTATTTGCCCTCTCAGTTTTCCACCACTGCCCCTCCTCTGGTCTCTTTACACACAGACGGCTGCCTGTGACAGCTCATTGCTTCAGTCAGTTTAGAGGCTTTTCTTGAAAAAGTTACTCAACTATATATTTCTTGAATAATTATAAAGAATCAGTAAGCGTTACTCAACAGTGTTTTTACACCAGGGTTCAGAACACGAGTAATAATCCTATCTCAAGAAGAGGGGTAGAAACCCTGCTTGTCACCTCCAGAGGGACATTAACAGTACTGTCATGATGTGCTTTTATGCACTGTAAGAGTGAAGTTTCCATTCTCTTCCAGAGAAGTTAGAGCAGTGGCCTAATCCAGACTGTGAGCCTCAGTTTACCTGCCCATCACCGTCCAGAAGATGCCTATAGTCAGGTGGGATGGTGTCCTCTCTTTCTCCCAGTTTTTCTCTATGTTCCGCTTTAATTTTTTCCTATAAACATTGAAGAGATAAAGCGTTCATTTCTTTCTTCACTTACAAAATACAATGTAAAGTGCAGACACTACAGTTATTGTATTTTCCTGAAACAAAACATAAGAAAACAGAGCAACAAAGTGGATGGTAAGCACAGCTGCTGAAAATGTGAATACCTGTTTTATATATGTCAGAGCATATCTGAATTTTCAAATGAAAGGGCCAAACAGTTACCCTCAGAAACCTTTTGGTAGTTAAAGGTCCAATGGAATGATTTTTTTTCTCATTGAATTTTGCTTATCATATTAAAAGCCTGGTCCCCATGCCTTGGCACACATCGACACTGCGATGGAGCAAGACAGGAGAGACTGACACCTGAGCATTCCTGGCTGCTGAACAAGCCATGGCCATCCTGGTACCCCTCCCTGTGAGGTTCCCTGGTCTCTATCACAGATGCTGTGGAGAACAGATTAATCTCTGTGCAGCATTACATTTTAGTTTTTGAAATATAGGTTACGTTAATGTCAATAGTCATACGATGATGAAAGAATGCCAATGACAATGTCCTGTTTTGGGACATTGTTTCCGATGCTCAGAAAGTGTCATGTCATTCCTCAATTTCCACTTTGTTTCATACAGGGTCTGTTGCTTTGCCATTGCACATACCAGACTAGCTGGTCCACAAGCTTCCATCCATTCTCTTTGTCTGTGCCTCTGATCCCTGTGTATGAGCTAGAATTGCACACACTCACACTGTATGATCAAGTATGTGAACTCATACTGTTAGGCTTACATGGCAAGCACTTTACTCACTGACCCATCTCCCCAACTCCAGTTATTTCTTGATTCTAAAATATGATCAAGTCAGTTGAGATGGCTTGTTAAATATTGTGTCGTAAATATAAATGTTTACACACAGTGAATATAGTTCAGTTAGTTCATTATATCATTCTAGATAAACCTCTGCTGAGTAAAAGTTCTCACAGTTGGATTCAGATTCAGTTATGCTTGCAAAGAAAGTCCAGGGGAAATCTGTGCTACATGTGTGATCTCTGCCACTATGAATACAAAGTGTAGCCACTCAATAAGTATATGCCTTTGGGTAAAGGTCCTTATTCCCAAATAAGACCAGGAGAAAAAATATTGGAAGGAAAAAAAAAACCTTAAAACATAGCTGTGCTTTCATTTTATAATTAAGTCTGGAAACAGGAATGTTTCCTGTAATGCAATCTGCACCAAAAACATAATCTGCAGTGAGAAAAAAAAAAGAAAAAAAGAAAAAAAGAAACGCAAGCTACACCATAAAACAGGACATAGTACAAGTAGGTGGAGTGGTCCAGATGCTCACCGCCTCCAGACAATGCCAGGGTATCTTTCTCCTCTGTGGAGGGGAGGAGACTATCTTTTACCTTCACTTTATCATCTACTGGTTTGTTCTCATCTGGGTCAGGCTGTCTTTGCCCAAGACTGTCAGAGAGTTCATCCAAGGCATCATTGAGGTCGTTGTCTCTGTTCTAAAAGGTAAATAATTCTAAATTAGTTACAATTAGTTGGCCAAAGTGTTCAGGAAAATCACCCAGGAACACCATCATTTCAGTATGAACATCTAGGAGTAAAGTCACAGGGATAGACAGTGTCAGGAAATGGCCATGCTGACAGTAAGTGGAGGAGACAAAGAGCTGTGCAAGCATCTGCCTGTGCTAGCATCTGCCTGTGCAAGCATCTGCCTGTGCTAGCATCTGCCTGTGCAAGCATCTGCCTCCACTAGCCAGCCTCCTCATGAAAACACCCCCAGGTTAGGGAAGCCTTTTGGTGGAAGTATCAGGGGCTGCACCCAAGTAAATGACCTAAAGAGTACCTACAGGTTCCACAAACAAATCGATTTCCTTTTTAACCCACTAATGTAGTCAGAAGGCTAGCAAGCAGAGTTTTCAGTAGAGCATGAGTCTGTCTTTGGTTTTGGGGCTGCTCTAAGTGATGTCAGATGGGAGGGTCTGTGACAAAGTACAGCCATAAAACTCAGAGCCATTATCCTGCCATTTTGTGAAGCATAAAACCCCACGGAAGTAAGATTGGTGTCACTGAGTGAAGATGGTTCCTAAAAGATACCAGAGAACTTTGGAAGTGGTAGATAATCTCGTTCTTTACCTCCTGGAAGCCCATGGAAGCTAATCTGAAGAAATTAATGGAAGGTATTCTAGGGGAAACAAATCCAGCAGATCACTATAGTTTGAGCTACCCAGAACAACACTGCATTTTACATTTGTTTACTGTACAATTCAGGTAGGTAATTCATCTACCAAGCTTGAGTTTTCTCAGCTCGGGAAAAGTGAGTGATACCTGTTTAGAGGAATGTGCCCTGACACATAATGGTAAGTAAATAATGGAACAAAACTTTTTCGAACTATTCTTAACATAATAGGTTCGAAATGTTGACTGTATCTATATGATTCAAATAAATATATGCTTAATGTCTATATTATACAAGATACTTTGCTGGTCTGTGTCCTGCACTGTTCTGTCAATATTCTGATAATGTGCTATCATACTTTTTTCAGTATTATTTGCTGTTTGTGGGAATCCTCTGGGTAACAATACAGAACATTTCAGAATAAGCAAGCATAGGGAAGCTAAACTAGCTGTGTAAAACAACTACTAAAGGATGAACGGAAGCCAGGTAACTGGACTGAAAAGAGGGAGGAAAGATTTGACAAGCAAGGAAAATCAAGATCATGACCTGGAAACCCAGAGACAGCTGACCTGAGCTAGTAGGAGCTCATGGACTCTGAACTGACAGCTAGGAAGCCTTTACGGAACTGACCTAGGCCTTCCACATGTGTAGCTTGGTCTGTTTTGGGGTCTCCAGCAGGACTTGTCTCTGGCACATGAGCTAGCTTTTTGGAACTTACTCCTCATGCTGGGATGCCTTGCCTAGCTTTGATGTAGGGGGAGGAGCTTGGTTCGGCCTGGACTTGATTTGCCATTATTGACGCCCCTTTCTGAACTGAGAAGTGTTGTTGGGGAGACTGGTAGACAGGCAGTGTGGAGAGAGGATGGAAGGAGAGGGGAGGAGAAATTGTGGCTGGTATGTAAAATAAATGAAAAAAAATTAATAATAATAAAGAAGCATGGTAAGCCTTTTCTTGACATTCTTAGTCTTATTTATGATTTTCTACATCCTTCTCAAGGAGGCTTTCCTGCAAGGGTGGTTTAATCATATAGCTTTTTGAAAATATTTCTCAGGATAATGTGCTTATATGCATTTTTTTTTCTGTCAGGCTGTTAGACACAGCAAAAAAAAAGTTTGCATGAATAATAGTTTAGTTAACTCTGATACTCACATATGATTCATTAAAATAAAGTTTTTGTTGACTTAGTTTTACTGACATTCTACACACACACACACGCACACACACACACACACACACACACACACACACACACACACACACACACACGATTCTTTAACCGGAGAAGCAAAGGGAAATGAACCATTGCAAACATCCTGAAAGACAGAGGCGTGTTGCTTTCTTTTGTCACCTCACAGATAGGACTTGTCTCCAAAAATCACCAACTTAAGGCTTTCTGTAAACAAGGCGACAGGGCCAGTCTTTCTAATAATTTTTCATTTGTGCTAGACAGGTGCCTTATTTACTTTCATGTTGCCGTTTTAAGAGTATTTCCCAAGGAAGGCACGTCGCTTACCTCAGTGTCTGGTGGTGGGGCTGCTGCGCTGGTGTTAGGAGCAGGCGTCTTGGAAACGACTTCAGAGATGGCAGCGGAAAGTTTGGCATCTTCAAATTCCTTTTATTAAAAAATTACTATGAACATGTTGCATATAAGATTATGACCACCATATCATTGTTTAAAACACAACCCTTAAAACCACTTCGTGCTGCTTATTACCTTTATTCAAATACATGCCTCACAACAATCTTTGATGCACTGTTTTTCCATTTCCACCTCTATAGCATTTTTACAATTTTCCTTCCTATTTTCTTAGACCCAGTTTTTCTGTTAATTATGTGTATGCATGTGTGACTATGAAGGTGTATGCACATGTGAGTATGGTTTCCCACAAAGGTAACGAGAGGGCATTGGATCCCCTAACGCTGTAGTTAAAGAAAGCTGAGCTACCTTTTGTGAGTGCTGAGAACTGAATCGGGGCCCTCTGGAAGAACAGTGTGTGCTCTTAACCACTGAGACATCTGTTTAGCTTGTGATTGTGTTTCTACTTCATATTTGTTACTGTAAACATCACCCAACATTATTGTAAACATCTACTCAGAATTCTGCGGCTTATTTATGTGCTTCTTGTTAGACACTGGGTTATTAGAAGTTTTAGAAAAGTATTTTGCAATTATGCTCTCTATAGAGACAGGTCTTTGGGGGTGGCGGGGGCTTAAAATCTTTCCAGCTTAGTTTCTGTTCAAATGAATTCAAGGTCAGAGGCAAGATGCAACGGGAAGTGCTAATGGGATAAGACCTATCAAAGTTGTGAAGCTAGTATCCTGGAGGGCCCGGAGGCAGCATATTTGAATGTGGACCATTTCCCTCAGATGGACAGAAGTCTGGGGGTACCAAGTTGAGAAGGGCTTTGGAATTCAGAAGGAGGAGTATAGCCTCATCTCCAATGCTCCACCTAGATAAAGTTAGATCTTTAAAAATTGTAATATATAGTCTTGATGAGAGACAGGAATTGTGTGGAAGAGAAAAATTTAAACTTCATTATTTTTAACTGACACAAAAAGAGTAGAAAACCTGTACATATTAATGGAGTAAAGGACAATGTTAAAATATATTTACATACTAGGTATTGTTTAAATGAGGCTAAATCTGTCTCTGCAAACATATATCAATTATTTATGGCAAATAATTTCAAGATATTTTTCTCCTATCATTTAAAAACATTTACTTCATTTAAAAAAAATAAATGGGTCTTTAAAAATCCACAGCACTGGCACTGTGTAATAAGAACACATATTGCTGAAAACAATGGACAGTAGGCCTGTTTGCTATTGCCATAATTAAAGTTTTATATCATATGTTAACTTCTGATAACTGCACAGTGGCATAGGACTGTCACCGTCATATTGTGCTACATGTCTTAAGCCATCAGCAGTGGTTTATTCTGAATTATTTTTGAAATTATTTTTGAAAGTTTTTGAAATAAAATTATTCTGTTTCCCTTTAACATGCTACATTCCTCATCTCCATTCCTTTCTTCATGCTACTTGGAACCAGTGCTGCTGTTTATTTTTACTAATTATTATACATCAAAGGCCCAAATGTTTAATGGGTTAATAATACCTAAAACATTTAAAATTACTTATGCTTTCATATCTCTACAAATTAACTTCTCAAATACATCTAGAATAGTTTTATTGAGTTGCAGAAGGTACCTTAGGGATCTTTTAATAACAAAATAATTTATTAACTATACAGGGGATTAGCCATTGTTCTTTTAGAACAATGAACCAATCTTAGAGTCTTATTTCTGTGCCTTTATTTTCTATTCATTTTTTATTTTGTGTTTTTTATGTAAATTTAGAATCTCCTATTAATAATATTAACTGATTTGTTTTTATCGAGACATTAGCATACATGATATCTATCATTGATATTTCTTATCTGAAAACAGCCATATCTACAAATATATATAGGCATTCCTTTTGAATGTTTGTCAACTACTTTTTATTTGTTGCTTATGACTTACAACATTTAACAGAAGTCAAAGTTTTACAATTTTAGAAAATGTCTCTCATTTTAGATTAAATATTTTATTCTTGGCAGTAAACAGATACCATTAAGTGATGCCACCCTTTCAAGGTTTATATTTAAAGAATGAATGGGTGTTAAATTTCAAATACATAGTTTTGGGGTTTTTAAAAAATATTTTTCCTTTTTTTTATTTAAATTTGAAACAAGGTTGTTCTACATGTCAATCCCAGTTCACTCACCCTCCCATCCCCTATCACCCCTATGAAACCCCAGCTCATCTCCTTTCTGCTCCCCAGGTGGGTGGGGCCTTCCATGGGGAGTCTTCAAAGTCTGTCATATCACTTGGGCCTGGGCTTAGGTCCTCCTCCATGTGTCTAGGCTGAGAGAGTATTCCTTTATGTGGGATAGGGTCACAAAGTCCATTTGTATATTAGGGATAAATACTGATCTATTACTAGAGGCCCCAAAGACTGCCCAGTCCTCCTAACTAACACCCACATTTGAGGGGTCTGAGTGAGTCCTATGTTGTTTTCCCAGCTGTCAGACTGGGGTTCATGAGCTCCCCCCTTGTTTAGTTCAGCTGTTTCTGTGGGTTTCTCCAGCCTGGACTTGACCCCTTTGCTCATCACTCCTCCCCCTCTGTAACTGAATTCCAGGAGTTTGGCTAGTATTTAGCTGTGGTGTCTGTTTCTGTTTCCATCAGGTACTGGATAAAGGCTCTAGGATGGCATAGTAGTTAGTTATCATTCTCATTATCATAGAAGGACATTTAAGGTAGCCTCTCCACTATTGCTTAGAGTGTTAGTTGGGTTCTTCTTGTAGATCTCTGGGTATTTCCCTATTGCCAGATTTCTCCTTAAATCTATAATGGCTCCCTTTATTATATGTCTTTTCTTGTTCTCCTTAATTCTTTCCCCATCTCAATCTTCCTGCTCCCTCATACCCACCCACCTCTCCCCTCCTCTTAGCTCCCTCTCTCTTCCCCCTGATGGGAGATGTCATTCTGTATATGTTTCTCATACTGGTTAATAATAAAGCACTGTTGGCCAATAGGAAAGAAAGATAGGAGGGACTAGGAGACAAGGAGGAAATAGGAAGTAGGAAGGAGGAGTCAAGATGGAGAGTCTGGAGAGAGCAGTATGCGGCAGCCGGCTCCCGGTAAGAAGAACACGTGGACATACATAGATTAACACAAATGGGTTAATAACTAAGGCAGAGCTAGCCGATAAGAAACTAGTACCTGGCCAATAGCATAATATCTAATACAGAGTCTCTGTGCATTATTTGGGGCTGGCGGCGTGGCGGCAGGACAAGACCAGGCGACGGCAGGCGGAAAAACCGTACTCGTTACATCCCCCCAAGCTCCCAATTTGTTTGTCCCTTTTGTTTTCTCCAGGGGACCATGTATGTCTCTCTTAGGGTCTTTCTTGTTTCCTAGTTTTTCTGGTGATGTGGACTGTAGGCTCATAATCCTTTGCTCTATGTCTATAAACTATATATGAGTGAGTATATACTGTGTTTGTCTTTTTTGTGACTGGGTTACCTCACTCAAGATGGTTTTTTCTAGTTCTATCCACTTGCCTATAAATTTCAGGATTGCATTGTGTTTTTCTGCTGAATAGTACTCCATTGTGTGAATGTACCACATTTTTTCCATCCATTCTTCAGTTGAGGGGCATCTAGGTTGCTTCCAGGTTCTGCTATTACAAATAATGCTGCTATGAACATAGTTGAGCACATATCTTTGTTGCATGGATGTGAATCACTTGGGTATGTGCCTAAGAGTAGAATTGCCATGTCCTGTGGTAGACTGATTCCCATTTTCCTGCGGATACTGATCTCCAAAAGGGCTAGGAGTTTGCACTCCCACCAGCAGTGGAGGAGTGTTTCCTTTTCTCCACATCCTTACCAGCATAAGCTGTCATAGTTGAACAGATGTCCTTGATGTTTGAATGTGCATCTTTTGGGTATATGCCTAAGTGTGGAATTACCGGATCTTGAGGTAGACTAATTTCCATTTTCCTGAGGAACCGCCATACTGATTTCCAAAGTGGCTGTACGAGTTTGCACTCCCACCAGCAGTGGAGGAGTGTTCCCCTTTCTCCACATCCTCTCCAGCAGAATCTGTCATTGGTGCTTTTGATTTTAGCCATTCTGACAGGAATAAGATGGTATCTCAGAGTTGCTTTGATTTTCATTTCCCTGATGGCTAAGGGTGTTGAGTACTTTCTTGTCTTTCAGCCATTTTAGACTTCTCCATTGAGAATTCTCTATTTAGTTCTGTACCCCACTTTTTGAGTATTTGGTGTTTTGGTAACTAGCTTCTTGAGTCTTTGTATATTTTGGAAATTGTTCCTCTGTCAGATGTGGGGTTGGTGAAGATCTTTTCCCATTCTATGGGCAGTCATTTTGTCTTGTTGACTGTGTCCTTTGCCTTACAGAAGCTTCTCAGGTTCAGGAGGTCCCATTTATTGTTGATCTCAGTATCTGTGTTACTGGAGTTATGTTCAGGAAGCAGTCTCCTGTGCCAATTTGTTCAAGGGTACCTCCCAATTTAACTTCTAAAAGGTTCAGTGTGGCTGGGTTTATGTTGAAGTCTTTGATCCATTTGGTCTTGAGTTTTGTGCAAGGGGATAGATATGGATCTGCAGTCTTCTACACGCCACCATCCAGTTATGCCAGCACCATTTGTTGAAGATGCTTTCTTTTTTCCATTGTATTAATTTAACTTCTTTGTTAAAAATCATGTATTCATAGGTGTGTGGGTTAATATCAGGGTTTTTGATTCCATTGCCCTATCTGTCTATTTTTATCCCAATAAGAAGCTGTTTTCAGGCCTATAGCACTATAATAGAGTTTTAAGTCTAGGATTGTGATGCCCTCGGAAATTCTTTTATTGTACAGGGTTGTTTTGGCTATCCTGGGTCTTTTGTTTTTCCATATAAAGTTGGGGATTGTTCTTTCAAGGTCTGTGAAGAATTGTCCTTGTATTTTGAAGGGGATTTCATTGAATCTGTAGATTGCTTTTGGCAAGATTGCCATTTTTACTATGTTTACCCTACCTATCCAAGAGCATGGGAGATCTTTCCATTTTCTGGTATCTTCTTTAATTTCTTTCTTTAAAGACTAAAAATTCTTATTATATAGGTATTTCACTTGTTTCATGTTACCCCAAGGTATTTTATGTTGTTTGTGGCTAGGAGATGTTTCTCTGATTTTTTTTCTCAGCCCCTTTATTGGCTACTGATTTTTTTTTTTTTTTTTTTTTTTTTTTTTGAGGTAATCTTGTGTCCTGCCACTTTGTTGAAGGTGTTTATCAGTTGAAGGAGTTCCTTGGTAGAGTTTTTCATATAGTGTTCTTTTTTAAGATTTACTTACTTAATTTGTATAAGTGCTTTATCTACATATATAAATATACATACACACATGCACGCACACACATATATATATATGCATATATATATATATGCATGCATGTGTGTATGTATATTTCTGGTGTCTGTGAAGGTAAGAAGTAGGCATTAGATATCATGGAGCTATAATTACAGGCAGTTGTAAGCAGCCAAGTAGGTGCTGAGAATCAAACTTGGGACCTCTGTAAGAGCAATAGCTAAGAGAGCTTAACCACTGAGAAAGCTTTCCAGCCCTGTTTCAGTTTTTGATACAGGATCTTACTATGTACACAAGGCTGACCAGGAACTCACAGAGACCCACCTGCCTCTTTCTGGGATTAGAGACATGCACCATCACATCTGCCATTAAATATATCTCTTACATAGCCATAACTATTTGATTATTTCTAGTGGTTATAGTACTATGATATAGTGACAATTTCCTTGCCAATGAAAATTCATGATTTTGGTAAATAATGACTTCAATACTTGTTATTGTGTCAACACTTTTCTATCTGTCAAATAAAGTGACCTTACTGACATTGTCAGTTTTTGTTTTTGTTTTGTTTTATTTTTTCTGAGACACGGTTTCTGGTTTCCTTGTGTAGCTTTGGAGCCTGTCCTGGCTCTTGCTCTGTAGACCAGGCTGACCTGGAACTCACAGAGATCCTCCTGTCTCTGTCTCCAGAATGCTGGGATTAATGGCGGATGCTACCACCACCCAGCTATTTGATGAGATTTTTAAAGTGAGATCAAGTATCTGTAAGGAGCAACTTTCAGAGCATCCTCCTTTTAGTGACTTTTTGTGTCACAGAGGGAGTACCTAGACATTGACATTTAGAAGAATAAGCCTTCAGCTGCTTAATGGAAGGAGTTGTGAGCAGTTCTCATGTCTTCTTTAGTTTTGCCTTTGTTTAGGCTATATGAATCATACTATTTTTGTCTAGAATTTCTTTAAAATTTTTGTGTAGTTTACCCCCAAATCAGTTTAACCCTTGAACTGACTCTTACATTTTTTCTCATTTTTACATTAAATATGAGTTTACTGTGTTCTCTTTTTCCTCTATTATACCCACCAGTACTTTCTAAGATTCAACATTTGTAATGATTGGCTTTGAAATATAAAAACAGAATTCATCTCTGACACATATGCACACTTGCCAGTATTTTACAAAGCACTTGTGTTTCAAAAGGAACAGCTTCTGGTCAGTTAGCCAGCATATGTCACCAGCATATTCAGTGCTAAGTTGCACACAGGCTTCAACTCCCTACTCTCCATACTATGGCTATTAGGAAATTAAAATTCAACGGATGTGAAATTCATCAAATTCACATTGTTTTAGTTTTAAAGATAAATGGCAGGAAATACATAAATACTGCTTTGGCTACTTTTAAATTTAATTTTATGTTGTTTTATTTTCAATAGTACATTCTGAATTTCTTGATTTTAGTATTACTTGGAGGACATTTTTAAAATTGTACTTACCCCATAATTTCTGTTTATTTTACTATTACCAACAAGGATGGTATATACAGTAGTTACTTGCTTTGGGATAACCACTCTGCATGCTGTTTTGGCAGGCAGGAAATCCAAGCACAGATACAGGGAGAAGAAAGGCAGAATCGGGGGGACACCAGCCAGCTGCTCAAGAACCAAGATGCCAGCAGACCACTAATGCCACAGCCACTTGGCAATACATAAATGAACAGATATGGGCTAATTTAAACATAGAGCTAGTTAGTAAAAAACTGAATTATTAGGCCAAGCAGTTTGCAATTACTATTAAGCCTCTGAGTGACTATTCAAAAGTGGCTGTGGGACTGAGTGGGACAGAAAAGTCTTGGTTTATATTCATTCCATTCTTTTGAATTTTATGAGCCAATATATGAAACTTTCTTTGCCACTGGAGTTCTCAACAGTGCCCTACATGATTTTCTAGTCTGTTATCTCTATTTCATTAACTATATTTTTCATACTGGCAATTTTTCCTTTGATTGTTAATTTTCTAAAAGAACATTTTAAAAAGTAAATTGCCTTATCTCAAATCTGCTTAGATATATCTCAGAGAGGGGGGTGACATAGCTCAGTATTGCAGTTCCAAAAAACCCTGCCTCAAAAAACTAGAAAGAAAGAAAAGAAGAGAGAAAAGAAGAAAGAAAGAGAGGAGAGAGGGAGGGAGGGTGGCAGGTAGGGAAGAAGGAATTGAGGGAGAAAGAGAGTGAGGGAGGGAGGACAGATGGAAGGAAGGCAGGAAGGACAAGAAGAGAAAAATAGTTAACTAGGTGCGTCATACTTACAAGAGAAGGTATGTTTGCAGGACCAGAAAAGTCCTGAGATAATGCATCAAGAAGGAAGTCATCACTCAATGGCTGCAAGAAGCAGAAAACGTATCAATAAAAACAATGCTGATATATCTCCTTTTCGGTATCCACCAGCTCACTAAAAAGGAAAGCTACTCCTTTCCCAGATTACCAATCAGAGGCCACAGAAGACAGAGTTAGAGAAAGTACATTGCTTACAGGAAGTTGTTCCTTGAGCTCTTTTGGCAGAAGTGGTTTTCCATCCTTATCCTATTCAGAGTGAAAACAAAACATTCATTATTTTACATATTATTCCAAGTATAGAACCTACACACTATACAAGGAATTAACAGGCTAAACCTACTGTATATTTTAACACAGATTATTGATTAAAGAAACGTCATCACAGCAGAGAACTGTAACTCAGTTCAGATACACAGTTAATGTATATGCATCACACCTTCCTTGTTGGAGGAGTCTAGTAGCACATTCAGTGTGTCTCGTGACCCAGAAGAACAGAGATGAACACAAAAGAAAAAGATATGAACTATTAAAGCAGTGTGTTTCAGGGGTGCATCAGCAAGCCTCTCATTTACAAGGGAACAATGGGAACGTAATAAAAGTCAGCTGAAGCCCCAACTCTCAGGGAGCTTGTTTTCTGGGTGAAGCACTCTCAAATTTAGGGCTCAGATTATGTTAAACTTCAAATACGGCTTCAAGTGGTACTTCTGAGTAACAGAGCAAAACCAATAATAACAACAAATAACAAAAACAATATCTAATAAAAGATCTATAGATTAATGATAAATTCGGTTTACTTACATGTATAAAAATAAATGGAACAAGAGAACATACAAAGATTTCTCCTAGGAAAGTGACTAAAATGTTTTTGCTTTTCTGTATTTCAAATGTGCTGTGGAATTGTTTAGAACTATCTACTGCTTTCTTACAGATAACACAACCCTCGTGTCCTTTGAGTTCATTTGCAGCTTTGGCCCTTTTTAAAAGGAAGAATCTACTATGTTCTAGACCATGTCCTAGCTGAAAAAGCAGTAAACATCCCGAGTGAGGCATGGGACCCCGAGGGCTCCTTTGCTCTATATAAAAATTGAAGTCTACCTTCTAGTGCCTCGTCAATCAGTGGCAGGACGGGTAAATTCGAGGTATGACTACAGAGAGCAGACCCTTGCTATAGCTACCTAATGCGAGCATAGGTAACAAGTGAAATTGTATTTAAACAAAAGGTCAAGTCAGCACCCTGGAAAGGTGACAAAGCACTGGCAACTGACAATGTATGAGGTCAGTTCAAAGGACAAAACTAACACAAAATAAAGGGCCAGAACAACCAACCCCTCAAGTAGCACTACTAAGATTCATTGAGGGCAGGGAGAAAGCAGATGGCTTCCCACTGAGTTAACTGTGGATGGCCTGCTTCTATGGAATTAGGGTCAGAGACAGATAGCTTTGTGGCCTTGAAAATGTCCTGAAGAATTTTTACAACAATGTACATACAAGCTGCAAATAAAAGGCAGTGTCCAGGATTTTTTAAATTAAGAATTAAGAAGAATTCAGTGTAAGATCTTGAGTGCATGGGGATGGGTGAGGACTCTAAATTCAGCTTCTCAAAACTGCTCTTCAAGTACTTTTTAACTTCCCTGTCAGTGGCATGTTAGGAAAACGACTATTCCTTCAACGGCCTATGTGCTGCTCTGTTCAATATGCACACTGAAACTGATCATAACCTGTTCCACACATCCTGTCCTTTCACTATGAAGAGGGCGGGTCAACATCACTTTACTCAATGTCTAAAAAGTTCTCATGTTTTCAGCTTATATTTAAGAACGGAAAAGTTTTCTGCATAGGAAGTAATTGTACACGTTGGTTTTTGTTTGTTTGTTTAACCTGCAAAAGGTTTTCCTATATTTGTGGTATTATAACAAACCACAGTCTGAAGGGAAAAATATTTGGTAACCTAGATGCTAATTTTTATTCATATTAAAGGAAGGAAAAGCTACTGAAGAATATATTTTAGTTTAAGTACCTATTGCTGACACCACTACAACTTTGGACACCGGACTTGGAGGAATTGACTGGAAGCCTCCTCCCTGAGGAATAGCTCTCACTGTATTAGAAGGTGTTATGCAAGCTGCCAAGAGAGAAAGGCAGTCAACAGTCCCACCCACCTGTGATGGGTATGAACCACAATGACTAGTATGACAAGATATCCCTAAAGCTACAGTAATGACACATACCTTGGTGCTGCCCATCAGCTTTCTGATTGGACTTAAGCCCTGCCCAATAGGAAATAATTTGTGTCTGGTATTGTGAACATAGCCAAAGATTCATGGCTGTCGAGGCCACAGAACTTGAGGAGAATGTACTACTGCAACTCCCTAAACCAGTATTATTAACTGCACGCTCTGGTTATTTTTGGTATTTTATTTTAATTACAACATCTCTCCCTTCCCTTTTCTCCCTCTAAACTTCCCCATATACCACTCTTCACTCTCCTTCCAATTTGTGGCCTTTTCCCCCCCCCATCAATTATCATTGTGTGCATATATCTATTTGTATATTCATGTCTATTCCCAAATATAAACTGTTGAGTCCATGTAATGTTACTTGGATGTGTCTTAAGTGGAGCTCTCATCCCTCGTCAGAGAAGCTTCTTGTTGCAGCCGATGAAGACTATTACAGAAAGCTACAACTGACCAGAATGCGGACAGCAACTGACAGTGAGGCCTCGGCCTCCAGCAGATACAACTACGGCACGCCCCCGCAACTAAGCTTAAGGGAAGATCGTAGATGAACAGGCAGAAAGAGTGCAAGAGCCGGAAGGCCAGGGTGTCTGCTGCAGGGCTGCATCTTCTGTGTATGACAGGGAAACTGCATTTGTGAAATCTCAACAATTTGATTGCCTAAACAAGACTTAAACAATGATGATATGAGTTGACTTGATGATGTGGAAGAGGAAAATCCCATGGGATCCCATCTCTAGATGAAGAGCTGAGCGGGAGAGACAATATTCCCCAGGAATGAGCTCTATGACTGCTCATCCAAACCAAGTGCTAAGTCCTAAAAAGCAACACTAAATGGACTCATTAGCTTGTATTTACACGTTAACTTATGTGTGTACATGTGTGTGTATGTGACAATAATAAAGGAAAAGAGGCTATGACTTTGAAGGAGAAGGGAAGGTGTAGAGGCATGAGAGGAGCTGGAGGGAGAAAGAGGGGAAATAATATAAACTCAGTATACACACATATGAAATTAAAATGAACAAATTTTAAAAGAGTATGTTTCAGCTCCTTACCTGGCATTTTAACATGGTGTTAGTACTAATACAATTTAGGGTCAGAACATAAAGAAATAAGATCTTTTAATTCCAGATCTGTTCTCAGTCCCCTCTTTATGTATATAAAATTCAGTTAGGAAACAAAATCAGAAAATACTCAGCCTGCTTACCTTGACCTCTTCTAGTCTATAATCAGGAGGAATTGTTTCTTCTTTTTCACCGAGTTTTTCGCGGTCTTCTTCTTTAGATTTCTCCTAAGTAAGAGTGGTATCAATTTTTAGAGTTAGTGTCTCCTTCTATACAATGCATTCTTCAGAGATTAAATTTGAAGTAATCTATTGTTAGCTTCAAACAAGCATTGATAACATATCCTTAAACTTTAACACTGTTTGCAGTTTAGCAGGCTCAAGTACTACCTCTCAGCCTGCTGGGCCAAGGGCACGCTGGGAGAAGTATTAGGCACACACTACTTTTCTTAGGTGCCCTTAGCAAAGGATGAATCCTGGTTGACAAAAGTGGGATTCATAGAACTTAGACACAGGCATGCTACCTATCTACCATAGTGGATCGACATTAGCATTTCCTAAGGTTTAGCTTATTAAACAGGATATATGCAATGTCAAAGAAAGTCAGCTTTAGAGACATATTTTTAAAAACAAAGTGTTAACTTATTGGGGGGTAGAGATGGATGGTTAATAGGTCATTTGCAGAAGCATCTAAGCTTTTATTACCTTGACTTTATCCTTAACAGGCTTTTCATCTTCTGGATTTGCTTCCCTTTCCCCCAGACTTCCAGCCAAGGTTTCTACAGCATCGTCTGGTACCATGCCCTTTTGCAAGGACACAGAAAGTTAAACCTAAGTTGTTACTCACCCTTACCAACCCAGAAAGGCACATACTTATTTCAGGTCTATGTTATCTTAAATAACTTGAACCATCAATCTGATTAGCATGAAGGTTTTGAAATGTTAAGAATGTTCAAAATGAAAGCAAGTTTCTTATATTAAGAACTATGTATGCGATTTGCATATTGACACTGAAATCCTTACAAAATCCAGCTGGAATTCTGGCCCATGAAAAAAAGAAGATAAAGATCACAGAAGCTGACAGAAGGGGGAGAAGGCAGGATCTCTGCCACCAAGCTTGGCCAGGCCCAGTGTAGGGACATACGTTTGTTCTCTGTGTTTCCACTAGTCACATGGCTAACAGTTGGCTCAGGATCCTGCTGCCTGTGACTAACCATACTCAGTGCACAATGGGAACAATCTACCTGAGTCTTGTTATTCAGAATGAAATGTGCTCACTCATGATGCTACAAGCCAGATTTGGCTGTGCCAACATTCAAGCAAAAGAACAAGAAGCACAGATGAGGGGAAATGAAGAAACCACGTAGGAACCAAAAGACTGGACAGGTTCTGGCTTGCCAAACTGTGAGTCATAAATGTTCCTTAGTGGTTTTACAAAATTAGTTGAATGCTTCCTGGCCAGAACACTTTTCATAGATAGAAGACAACACACCACACTTAACCTGAACAAATACCATTCATTAAAGTACCCTTTTTCTTTTTATTGTATAGGATCTAAGTGAACATATCCCAAGTACACCATGTACTTTAAAGCATTTCTGACTCACTGTTTTCCCTGGAAATGTTATTCTCACCTCTCAGTATGACCCTGCCCTCTGCATGGAAGCCTTTGTAAATTCCTACAAGAGAAGCCTCCTTCGTCCATGTTCCATCTGCCTGTTTTCCATATGGGAAAGTTCAGACTGTGTCATAACTTGAGGTCTGGAACATACTTTGCAGAAGACTAAAAGGTATGCAAGAGCTGAACTCTACTTCTCATTCTCCTCACTGTTAAGGACAGTGTCCGTATAAACATCGGACGAGGAGACTAGCGGGAGATATAAGTCAGTTAGGGAATGCGTGGGAATCATGAATCAAGCCCCAGCACCATCCTTGGTGCCACAAACAATACCAAGAAGATACTACAGGAGATCTAGAACATATGTGTCCTGGAAGAGGAAAACTAGTCTTTCAGAATTCAGGTTCTGTTAGTGTGAAGTCTCTGAATCATCAGAGTATAGAAACGAAACCCATAGAAATCAAAATTAAAAAAGGACTTACTTAAATATCACACTTCATTCAAAAATTAGAAGAAAAGCAGAAGACAAGAAACAATGAAGGCAGAGGGATGCTTCTATCTTTCCTCCAATGGGGAGGGGGCGGGATCATGGTCGTAATTTGGGTGCAAAACCAGGAAGAAATGTGGCACTGGACTTCCTATCGGACTTCAGCACACAGGGATTATTGGAGATGGCTGTGAAACTACAAGGAATTTAAGAGGATGAAAGCAAAGCAGCAGGCAGCATCTGAATTGAAAGTGAAATGCAAATGAGGTTTCCCACACAGCCCTGAAGCCTGAAGAACAAGGAACAGCAACTCTGCCTTAGCTCTGGCTTCCTTTTCTTAGCATAATATCATGGCAGCACACAGTAGAAAGTCGGAGGGGCGGTGAGGTGGAGAACGGAGCTTGCTCTAGACCCTTTCAATGCTAAGGACATCACTTACCAATGATGCTGCTTTGGGTGGTGCTGACTGTATACTGCACATGGAGGCCCGAGGCACAGCCTCAGCCACAGGAGCTGGGGGTGTGTCCTCAGATTTCTGAGAAAAGAAGCAGGTACACTGAATAACTTTAGGGCTACCTGACTAATAAAAACTCAACAACAGTGGCTCAATTAGACACTACGAGGTATAAGGTGTGAGTATGATTCTTTTGAATGCTTATTGAGTGACATGCATGCCAAGGCCTGTTAAAAACTTCTCAATTACTGTAATTGCAACTTGCTGACTCAGTTTCACATATGTAAAAGGAGATCATTGATAATACACATGGCATCTCAAAGGTTGATCTAAGAACATATTGCAAGTTATAAATCTGTGCGTGAACATAAGGAATGATATCGAACAGGAGTCTCAGAGTAGTCCCTGGAGATCTTGTGAGAAATCTATATTCTTAGGCTTTCACCACAAGGCAGTGAGGAATTCTAGGCTCAGGATGCCAGTAATTTTCAAATGCTTTTAATCCAGACATTTTAGCAAAGCTTTCCTATGTGCAAAGCACCCTGGAGAAGGAGCAGTACCAAAGCATGCTCTCATCAGAAACAGTACTATTTACACTGATAGATGTTAGGGTTGCTCGAACCATTTCAAACAATTGCTTTAACAGGGACACACACACACACACACACACACAAAACCCACAAACAAACCAATAAAATCAACTAAGAACCTGTGTCATGAGAATTACTTTTAGAAACAGTGTGGTAAGCAAGGGAGGGAAAGCGCCAATAACACAAGGCCACTTTTACAGAGCCTTTGCATTGAGGAGTGCAGTAATGCAGCAGCCTGCAGGCAAGGAAGCCATGGCTGCCATATACATGTGGCATGTACAGAATCCATTCATAGGGAGCGGGAAGTTCAGGGTTGGCACAGAGGAATGCTGTGACATAATTCAGAAAGGGTGACTCTGGTGGACATAAGGGTGGGAAGGGCGAGAGGTGTGGCAATTTTATTTAGCCAGCTCAGCAACAGCTATCAAAAGGAAAGGTAGGATGTAAACTTCCGTGAAGGAATAACTACAGGGTTGGACCGTCCACAGAAAACATCTAGAAAAAAGGCAAGATGAAAAGACCACGAACAAAAGGTGGCATATAGGCCTTCAGGGCCTTCAAAGTCAGCTCGTCCATATAATAATAATTTGGGCTTCACATATTTTCAGATTAAAAATGAACATTAAAACCCCTTTAAGACATTATCAGAATATACTTCGATTTTCTCAGCTGGTGTAGATGGTTTGTCTTGATATGCCGATCGGCCGAAATCTTCTGAGAGTTGTCCAACCAGCTCTGCTTCACTCAGGCACTGTAACAAGAAATGCTGAGTTATGTATGAAAATGCGCTCCTCTGTAAAAGCATAGGAGAGTATCTTTTCTTCTTGGTTAATGTGGTTTAGCCATATTGTATTATGTAAAAACAAAAGCTAGCTTGATAAGGCATATCATATCGATGTGAGGACAAAAATGGCACACAAGTGTAATACTTAGCATCTTAGCACTGGGAAAGTGCTAAAGGTTTATTTACTCACCTGATAGGTCAGCTCTAGGAACTACACGTAAGTCCATGGAGAGGTGTAGACTTTCAGTCTGGCTAATCTTACTTTGTGATGATTTTATTTACAAGTACATTTCAATAAAGTTTTAATTATTAAAAAAATAGAGTAAATCACTTTTCAAAGTAACAAAAGGATTTGCTGTAGAGCTTTATTCAAATGCTATTTCTATTTCCTATTTTCTGCAGTGAAGATATGCAGTTTAAAAGTGACTGTTCATTTCCTAGTCCTTAATGGTTTCCTTCAGAATAAAGCAGAGAAAACACGATTCATGTACTCATTTCCTGTAACCAAGGAAAGGGAAGGGAGGGAAAGTAGGAGAGGACCGAATGTGGGTTCTGGCAGGAAAGTGCGATAGCCCCATTTCTTCCAGCGGAGTCAGTCCATGTGGGGATGCTATAAAAATATCTTACGGTAAAAAGGAAAAAGCAGCAGAAAGAGGCAGCGGTGTGAGCGCTGTTTCCTAGAAAGGACACGGCTGCTGCACTCATGAACTCTCAGGGCTCAAGTTGAGTACAGTTGCTGCACAAGATTGAGCTTAGGGGCACCCCATCACGGATGGGGGAGGGGGTCAGGAAGCCTCCCAGCTCTTTGAGGAGCCAGGGGCCCTCAATGGCTGCTCTTCCAGGCATTTGAACATAAGAGCTGTTTTTTCATCAATGGAGTATCTACCGAGAAATTGTGTATGCTCCACTAAATAACCTCACATTCAGGCCCCAGTGCAAGCAACACTAACTCTACTCAGTGGCTCATTAAAAATGGAACGGAGAAGAAAAGACGTGAAAAGCACTTGGAGAAATGTTAAGCACACCACTGTGTGCTTAATTAAAGATGCTGACTAGTGCCATCACGACAGGAAACTGATATGTATTTTTAAGGCAATATAAACCTGTTAGACTATTCCATATAGTTACTAAATCAAATGCTAAGATAATATAATATAAAAGCTCTTCTGGCATTAATTCTTAATGATTTATGAATGCTGCTTAGAAACTAATAGTCTGCTAATAATTCATGAGAGAAACCAACATTAAAACATATGCAAAAGAGCCTTGTGTTACCATCAGAATTTGCCTCAGTATTAGGCTTCATGTGAAATGTGGTCTTTTAAAATGATCCTAATTTACACTTTTTAGATTACACTTTATATTTCTAACCTTAGGCTTTTCCTCAGGCTTTGGCAGTAGTGGTTTTCCATCTTTATCCTGAAAATAAAATTAGAAATTAGAAAATAAAATAGAAAAATTTGCTGTCATGTCCTATTATATTTGTTTTAGGCAAATCCAAGATGTAGGAGGTGAGCTTATTTTTTCTTCTCCTTGAGTGAATTAGCTTTAGATTGAATTTCTATAAGTACCAAAGCAGGAATGGGATCAAAAGACCACACATTCCAAAGGATACTGTGATTTGTTTTTCATTACAAGTCACTAAAATATTGATTGTTTGGTAAGGTAAAAAGATAAAACAACAACAACAAAAAGGCTTTTACAAGAATAGTCCAACTGTGTTAATGGAATTTTTATTTTTGAGTATTTATTGTGTGCATGGGTGTGTGCAGAGTTAGTTCTTTCCCTAGCACATGAGACCCAGGGTTCAAATGTAGGTAGTCAGTATTGGTGACAAGCATCTCTACCCACTGAGTAATCTGGCTACCCTTTCCTTGATGGACGATGAAGAGAAAACATTTTAATTCTTTGGAGCTGGGTATGTAGACACATGCTTGTGGTCCCGCAGTTGGGAGCTGGAGGGGGTCAGGAGAATAATGACAGTCCCTGCAGCAGAGTGAGTTTGAAGCTAGTCAGGTGCACCTCGAGAACATGTCTTAAAACATAAATGCTTCAACCCTCCAATTTAGGATGGGATAAATGTCATTTTTTTTTGTTGTTGTTGTTATTTAAACACTGCTTAGTTTTTGAACTTGAGACTTTACAGTTTAGGAAATGTTTTCTCAAATAATCAAATAGGTTAGAGTTTTAATGACTACTTTAGAGACTGTGGAAGGTTTGCTCCTGTGGCTGCAGAGAGGCTAGAGAAAGGGGTCCAGCATGACCACAGTTAATATCTGAAGAGGAACGGCTGTGCTCCTAGTGTCGAGGAGAGATGTATCATTAGCACGGCAGCCAATAAGCTGCCGATATCCAGGCAGCTTACCACAGCTGGCTTTAACCTGTAGTCAGAGGGAACTGTGTCTTCGTCCTCACCACACTTCTCCTGACTTTCTTCTTTTGCTTTTGCCTGACGAAAATGGAGAGAGGGGGGAAAACAGCAGCAGTTAGATAATGTAATATAACCCGATGCCACCTACATTTCATATACTACAGAATAGCCCAAATCGGGTTGAAGTGCTTGGATGGGATTGCTCTGTAAACCACAAAGTGGAAGTCTGTGGAAAGCAGTTGTGAGCAGGCACTGGGACAGACACCCTGCTTGGTCCAAGACTTAGGAAGCCGCGGCACCCTTGGAAGTGTTGCCTCTCTGGCTAATAATCCTTCCTTACCTCATTGACTTTGAAGGTTCACTAAAGTAAATAAAGTAAGCAGAGTGCAGAAGTTAGCTGCAATTATTTAATAGCTCCCATATAACTTGCCCAACAGGGCAGTTGTCTAAATAGAGAGAAAAGTACACATCCAACTCTCTCATCCACTTCAGCAATCGAAGAGGCAGACAGCCACAGATGTGGCTTCTTCATGGAGAGCTGGCTTTACCAATTTATAAAGGATTTCTTTCAATAGCAGGATTTACTCCACAAGATCACCAAACCAGAAGCAAATAAATGCACTAGACATGACCAGCTCTGTAGCAGACTACTAATTCTCCTCCATAGCACCTGTAATGGAATCTGTGGGGGGAGGGGGAGTCCCATAAAATCTTATGTATAAGGTTTTCTAACTATCTTAGGACAAGGGCTTAGAATTCAGAACCTAAGGTAGGCAGCACAGCTCGCTCAAGCAAATTGAGTCAACCCACTGTTTCTACCTCTGCGTCAACCTCTCACTGGACTGGCTACTTTTTTGATTTATTGTTAAAAAGTATCAAACAATTTTAGTGAGCCAGGCACTGTTCTTCATTCTTGGACTAGAGTTGTATGTTATTTAGAAAGGAGAGGTTTTGTTTCTTTTTAAATTTCAGGTTTTACTCTATTGCTGTCTCTGGGGTCCTGATATGTAGCAATACTTCCCAACTTAGGGATGTGTGCCATGTCTAGTCCCAAAGGAGATGCTGTAAATATCAAGGGCCATGTCTACAGGAAGACTGTCTCCATACTTCCAGACTATGGGCAAATACACACACAGCTAGAGCCTTTTTTTGTTGCCTCTTTAATCTTTATATTTTTAAAATGGCAACGCTATCCAAGACACCAAAAAGATCAAGAGGAAGTCTACCATATTGCAAACCTGCTGGACTAGGTCCATATACTTAAAAATGGGGGTGGCTTAAAAGGTATCATTATAGGAGAAATAAATATTTATTTATGGGATGGTGTGTTATAAGACTGGAAGTGGGACTGGGTCTGTTCTCTGGAGACTTCCATAGTTTGTGTAGGTGCTGCCTAATGTGGGAGGTGCTGGGATGGCCATGGACTGCTATAACAAAACAAAACCAAACAGAACAAACAGAAGATAGTTACAGTTTAGGACTAGGCGAAAGTTAGCATGACAAAAGTGGAAGGTTCTTCAGTGTGTTTACTGATACTGCTTTCTAGAACAGTGAACACACTTCTATACATACTCCAGAGATTAACGCCATTACCCATACTGCTATATGAGTTCCTTTCATGTCCCTTTTCCCACCTATGCATCTGGGTTAGTGACTGGGTTAGTTAGACTGTCCCGGGACTTCTTCCCATATATATTGTCCTATTACTCTATTTATAAAAAGCCCAAGGCAAAAGTGAAATCCATAGCCCCCAGGCGATAGAACCACAGTATAGGACCTCCTGGCTCCACCCAGGGCTCCACCCTCCTTAGACACAGCGCAGCTCTGAGCAAGGTGCACCTCACAATGTTTGCACCCATGTTCCCGTTCTTCTGAGCACATCACATGGTCCTGAAGGACAGGGATTGTCTCTCCGGCTCCCTTGCGGTCAGCATCACGAAGCCTCTCATGCCACCCCGCAGCCGGTGAGCCCTCCCAGAAAGTGGAAGACAGAAACTGGCCCATAGTAGACCTGGGCCAATGCAGACTCAGGCAGAGTCCCTGGGAGTCGGGAAGACTGCCCTTCCCTGACAACTCAGAACAGGAAGTGACAGCAGAGTCAGGGGCATTGTGACAATGCTGCTTGCCAACTCCTTTTCTCTGATCTGATTGGGGGGGGGGGGGGTAGTGCCTCTAAAGCCTTTGGCTGTCTCCCTCCAGGGTTCCTGCCTCGTCAGACACAGGTAGCTTACTTCTGTCCTTTTCCTTTTCCCCAGAGAATTGAAAAAGTACATGAAAACCATAACTTAACATCATACCTCTACACCGGCTACAGGCTTGGATGGGCTCACTAAGGGCACGGAGGCTATGGGACAAACACGCTGTGTGTGTGAGCTCCAATAAACAAGTAGTTGAGAGACTGATGCTCAATTTGTTTTAACAGTTTTGTCAACCTTCTCCCCCACAGCTGTACAAAAGAAGGTCGAAGATACTCTCCTGCCATCTCCCTCCATAAGCACTCTTGTGAAAATACAAATTCAAATACCCAGCACAAGCAAACTTCACAGGTCCTCATCACACTACTACTGTTGTCTTGCTTAATTAGGGGCATCTTTAGCTTTGGCAACGCAGATTAGTATTTCTTTTTCTCCCTGCCCTCCCCCCCCCCCCACTTCTCTTTCTTTCTTGACAGGGTTTCACCATATAGTGCAGGCTGTTGTAAAACATGTTCACAATCCTCCTGCCTCATCCTCCTTAGTTCTGGCGTCTCAGATGTACGTATGCCAATATATTGGACCATAAGGTTTTGCATTCCTGAAGTGCTGGCTTCCAACCCAGGTCCTTGCACAGACCAAGCCAGTAACTGACCACTGAGCCACACCCTTACTTTTCAAGTATTAATACAGTACAGGTTTTACATGGACACTTAAACATCTGCCGTGGTTGCTCTCTCCCCAGCAATAAATACCTAAATTTACCAGACAACATGAAATCGCTTTATATGTGAATGACAGGTCAGTACCTCTTTGACTTGTTCAGCTTGGCTAAGGTGGACCTCAGGGTCTGGCTGCCGGGTGCCCAGTGAATCTGACAGAGCCTGAAGGGCCTGATCACTCATGTCACCCTGTTAAAAGAGAAAGGGTATGTGCATAAAAATGAATCAAAACAAAAACCTCCTCAGAGCGCAGAGCTTAGATAATATAAACAATTTGCTTATTTGTGAAATATACATATTAAATACATTAGGCGAATTGTGGATTGGGAAATTACTATTTGAAAATTAAAAGAGGAAGAAAGAAAGACTTACCGATGACTGAAAACTTGGTGTGAGACACCAGATCTGTCCCTATAGCAAAAGCTATAGGGCACACGTCAAGTCTTATTTTGCAAGTAAGACATACAATTATAATAAATGATATTACAAAAGACCCTTCTCAAAATAAAAGCTGAAAGCAAGTGAACTTGTAAGACCCGGTTTCTCTTTTTCCGAAACTGTATTTGTAAAATGTCTTCTGAAAGCCTGGCCCTTCAGCACAACAGCTAAGCTCATGTGAGAGAGAGCTGAGATGGCTTCTGAAGACAGAGCTCCACTGTCAGGGTGTGGCGCTCCCCACAATGCTCTCACACAGAGATAAAAAATAAACTATTGGCTCCAGCAGGGCAGAGGCAGAGGCAGCCCTGGCAGAAATGGTCCTTAGCATTATCAGCACCGTTCACACAGGTCACATGTCCACATGCAGCCTAGAGCTTCATGATAGACGCTGAGGACAGAATTACGTTACAGCTTGGTGCTGAGGCAGCAGAAACAGCTGTGTTGACAGCACTATAATGACCCACAAAGCTCCCTTCAGGAACGCAAGTCTAAGATTTCATGTTTCTAGAGCAGTATTTGTGTCACAATATGAGATGGTCTTGTTGGTAACAGAAAAATCATTCATAAATAAGCAAAACCAGGTAGTAACTGTTGTCATATGGGCCCTGGCTATTTAAGGAGGTAAGTACCTCTTCCACCTTCCTTTTCTTCTCCTGGGGAGGAACAGCACTTCTGGTCACTCCAGCAGACTGAGCTTTGAAAACGTCCCCTGTAGATTTCTGAAAAAGAAAATACAAAAGATATTTACAGGTGACGGAAGTCCAATTATGATAAACAGAAATAAAATGTTATTTTTACATCCAAGATATTTTCTAGCAAAGTCCTCCTTAATAGGACTAAAAACACTACCTCTTTCTCAGTTGGCTTTCCAGTCGGAGAACTACAGGTGAAGTCAGATGACAAGGCATCTATAGCATCATCAGGTCCCATGGGTTTCTAGAGTAAAGGGCACAGAGTTAACTCCTAAGAGCCAAACTAGAGATTAGGAGTCCAGGAAAGAAACATTCTTTGCATTCCTTAGATACCAAAGGGGAAATGTTAATAAAACAACTCAGAAGGAAGCCATGATAGGAAGGGAGGGGGTGTGCTTCCTCCTTTCCCTCCTTCAACAGAGTTACATGTGTTTACATGTGCTCATAAGTATAAATAATTATTAGCATTCACTATGTCCTTCCATCTTCTTGACCCCATCATCTCCACATCCATACATAGATATGGCCAAGAAATAGGAAACAGCCCCATGCCCACCTTCTTTCTAGAAACATAAAGAAATATTATCTGATCGAGAGATCATCACTTTCACATACAGAATCGATATGGTGTTTTCATTTTGTTTTTCTGGTCCTGGAGATTGAACACAGACCCTCCTCCACACTAGGCAAATACTCTGCCACTGGACTATATCTCCAGATATCATCTTACTTTTAATTTTGAGACAGGGTATGATTTACCCAGGCTGGCCATGAACTCAGCATCCTGAGTAACTGCGATTACAGGGTGGCACTACCGAGCCCAGTTGGTACTGGTAGTTCTATGCTCCCAAAGAAATATACACCACGTTGATACAGATCTTAGAAGACATGCACACAAACTCACAGCAGAGTCTGAAGGGGGTCCTGTGATCCCTTCCTTATTCTGAAACAAAAATAAAAGAAGTTGAGAAGTCAAAATTCATTCTTCTGACTGATAAAAATGCATTCTCAGTCTATGATGTGTGCCCTCCCACTCATATGTTGATTCTCTACATAAGGTATCCAGCGAAGCTAGGTCATCAGTGGGAACCCTTATCAAGTGACACCGAAGTCCTTATGAAAAGAGAAAACTGGGACTCAGAGAAACACAGAGGGAAGGTAAAGTGAAATGACTCGTGGAAAAGACGGCCATCTACAAGCTCAGCAAAGAGGCCTAGAAGAGAGCTCCCTTTCAAAGACCTCAGAAGGAGCCAACTGTTCCCAGACCCTAACTGTCACTAGAAACAACAGACGATACATTTCTTTTGGTTGGCTATCTAATTTGTGGTACATTTTCAGGGATGTTCCAAAAGGTTAAGACACAGAGGGTACTTTTTAGTAAGAACAACTGTATATGCCCCATTCAATTTTCTAAATGTTGATATGAAATTGTCTTCCAAGAAAGAAATGACGACATAAAAGTGGAAGATAACTTACAGCCAGAAGTTTCCTGTACTCTGGAGGGATTGTCCCTTCTTTTATACCCAGTGCCTCAATGTAGGTAGAATCCATTGGATCCTGGAATTAAATCACACAAAAGACATTATGCAATTAATATGCTGAGAATGATATGTGAAACTAGAGTACTATTCCAGTACTAATTGTCTGTAACTATTGATACGAAAATAAATCATTAACAAGCTTAAACTGAACATAATCCCAAAGTTCTAATGGTATGTTAATACTCATTTAATTAGCTTTATAGATTGCACCCTGTACTTTAAGTCCATCCTTTCTATCATTTTCTATTGAACTGTCCTTTTCTCTGTTTTTTTATTCTTTATAAATGATAGAAGTAAACACTTTGTTACTTTTTTCATCTTACCTATGATTTATTTCTAATACTATGATACATGTAATTTTTCATTTTTAGAAAATAAAGTGGAGCATATTTTAACAATATTATTATACATCATGATTCTGTATGTTTTCAAATGCTATATACATAGTATCATCCTGTTACTCTGGCTTATTTTATTTAAAATTGTGGCTTTGTATTGTATCCATGGTGATGCATGAGGAAGCCATTTTCCTTCTAGGAAGTACGGAGCAGCTTCTGATATTCTGTCAACCACATCACTTCCAAATGTTCTGCCAGTTGCCCTTCTCTGTACACACTGACAAGGTCCCCAACTCTCTCAGTAGGGGATCTGTGACTTAGCTGAATTGCCAGATTTTGAAACTTTTGGCCATCTGGTCACAAAAAGGGAACCACCTCATTCTTTATGTCATTTTCCTAATTCCCTAGTAGACCTTCATGTTATTTGTTCATTGTCCAAACAACTTTCTCTTAGTTCTTTCTCTATTGAGTTGTCTTTTTCTGTTTTTTCTATTTATTATAAACTGTAGAAACAAATATCTAATGGTGTCTTTTGAAAATGTTTTCATCTAATCTACAACATTTGTAATATAAGGAAACAAAATTACATTACTTTTTGGAAATTAAGAATAGAATAGAGCAACTCAGCATCATAAAGACATAAAATTCAAGTTAAGTTCAAGTTCACTGCATGAAATGTAAACGACCGAGAACAAGATTTTCTGATGTAGCCGGTTGTTTCAGTGAAAGTTTTGGCACCATTGGGTATTCCCTGAATGAATGCAGTTGTGTAGCTGTCACAAGGCAGACTGTTTCCACCCTCACCACTAAGTGCCGATTTCAATTATTAATCCTGATACCATCCTGCTTCTACATAATCAACAGAACATGAGATGCTTTCCTATCCATTGAGGACGAATTCTTACTGTCTTCCAATCACATACCAAAACTACTGGTCCAGTGTATTGTGGATCTTCTTTGTTAGTTTCTTCAGGTTCCCCTAGAGTGTCTACCAAGTCATCTAAAGCAGCATCCATGCCTGACTGGAAACGAAAGAGAAAGATATGTCAATGTTACCTGGTGTATATATTGTCCTTTATTTTTAACCACAAAAATGTACCAAAATACAGTAACTTTTATAAGTTCAGAAATAGTTAAAATTCAGTCCATTTTTATTATGAGATACAGAGTCCAGATTCTGAATTGGAAAGATTAAAAAGTCACATTCAGGTAAGCATCACCATGTTTTAAAAGTACCAAGTTATTAGCTACAACAACAAATATATTAGTTCATGAAGGCTGCCAAGCCAAGGCACTGACAATTACAACATAAAGAGAAACACTGGGATTAGCCACTTGGTACTTTTTGCCTTTCACTCTGCCACTCCCAAGTTACATAGTACAAAATCCATAAACAATACCTCTTCAAAAAAGAAGCTATTTTTTAAAAATAAACTCTCCTGTATTTGTTCATTTCTTTATGAGTATTGTTGTTGCTCACTTGCTTGCCCAAAGATAGCTCTAAAGAGAACTCATGTGAGATCAATGGTAAAGATACATTAACAGACAGTTCAGCCTGCCAATATGAACTCGGCCACCTTTGTAGTTATGGATGACTCAGTGTGAACAGGCACCTGAAATGGAAAGATCCTCACTACACACCTCAAATCTAAAAGTGTCACTGAATATGGCCTCATTCCCATGATGGCTTCTGGACTCCTCATTACTAATATATGTAAGAGAAACTAGGGCCCATTAGCTTTAGACTATTTTTTCCTTTTTGAATTATTGTTGTGATTTCTTGGAAGAGAGGCAATATATTTCAAAGGAGTACCTCATATTCTTTACTAATAAAGAGGTAATACAGAATATTTAGACAAACCTCAAGATGTCCCCACTCTAAAACCAAGGGACAGGAGAAGTCATTTGCCAAGTCTCAATCAGCTATGCACGTTGCTAAAGAATGCATGCTTCTGGGATAGAAACTGTTATTAAGCTCAGTGTACTAGATCTATATTCAAAGCAGAGGCTTATACCATGAAATGGTACAAAAATAGTACAAACAGTCATAATTTCTTTAAACTCCAAGCCATTAAAGTTTTCCTTTAAAACCACAAGAAATCAGGCCGAGAAAAGCACCAGAGGACAAATGTCTGACAATAAACTGACTTGTGATCTCTATACCTTGCCAGATGGCTTGTTTAGTTTGGACTCCACTTGTGAAGCTGGCGTTAATGATTTCTTTTCTTTCTCCTAGTGGAAATTTAGAAGGACATTAAAAACTTTCATATACATTATTAATGAAACAACATTATGACACATTTAAGATAAATTATTCAATAACTGACTAGCCCCCTTTTCTTCCATCCCAGCTCTAAGTCACACTACACAATGACACAGCAGCACCACTGCAACAGCTCCCAAGCAACCTTCACCTCCTTGTCACTACCCACAGCATCCTCTCCAGCAGCCTTAACCTGTCTTTCTGGTCTTACTGCCGCCTCTGGACACTCTTATGTTTTCCTACACTGGAATGTGCTTGTGCCCAGAACTCATCTGAACATTTTCAATACCTTGAAGTGTTTGTAAGCCTGGAATCCTGGCTGTTCTTCCACGCTTACCTCAAAGGTCTCTACCCTCTCAAAGTCCTGTGGATTCTCCAAGTCAGGTGAAATCTGCCATTTCCTCACAAGATGTCTCTCTATAGGGGCCTCCCTTGCTCTGCCCTGAATTAAAGTTCCAAATTCTTCAACACTAGATGGGCTAGCCTGCTACATACTAAAATAAGACAATCTGATTAATCCTACTGAGTTGGGAAAGAACCAGGAGTAAAGTCAAATAAAGTAATTTGTAGAAAGTTCCTTAATCAAGTCAATGAATAACTGAATTCCATGCAAACTTTGCTTGTAGCATTAGTTAGTGTTTACTGATAACTTGGGATACTTTATACCTAGAATCAAACCTCAAATTGTGAATACATTTAAAAGAATTTATTGTAATGTGTCTAGTCCTTGACCTTAAATCTCCTCATTTTCAAATTAGTTCATGTAAGGATACTCATGGTAACAAGACTGTTCCAGGCAATGGTAATTTACTGCAAAAGCCCTCATATGTGAGTGTTTCTACTTAAAAGATTTTGTGAGTTTGGTTAAACTAATGTACCTGGTACCTCAAGATCCAACAAAGCAGTATGTTTCAGGGCATGTTTAACACCTTTTAGCCTTGTCTGTGACTTTCAAACTGGCACCCGAAGCTCCTCCAAGGCTCCAAGATATGCTTCCTGGACAGGCCAATACATCTACAATGGGGTTGTGAGTGAGGGCTTGTCATGCTATCAACTCATGCCCTTGCTGTGACTGTGATTTAGTGTTAAGGCTCCAACTGATGCAAACATTCAAAGCTGAGTGTAAAGCCTACTTAAGCAGCTGCAAATGTTTTATGCCTTTAATTTCATACCTGTGAGTCTAGAGGACAGGACCTGAACAAACTTATAATGTAATTTCTTTGGCATTGATACTAAGCTTCATATGCCAGGTACCCAATAAGTATTTAATGGATATACACATTTCAAAACTATTTTAGTACTTTTTTTCCTCTTTAAATTCCCCAAACAGATGCTCTTCTTCACAAAAATTTATACACAGTGCCCATTGTTTCTGAAAGCTAGGCTGTCTGTTGTATGCTTCTTAACAGAAGCCTGACAAGCAGAGAGGATCATGTTACATCTCTATGCGTGCTCACCTTGCCATCCACTTTGTCTGATGCTGCAGCCACAGTCACACCAGAAACCACACTCCCTCCAGCAGCAGAAGGAGCATCTTGTGCTTTTGTCTGAGAGCAAAGATAGACCAGTGACAGGACTAAGTAAGTACCTTTACTTATGACCAAGATCATGAATTTCAGGTGTCACCAACACCTGACAGTTTGCTTTCATAGAATCACTGTAGACAGAGCTTGCTAGCTTCTTTCTGCATGTGTTACAATGTTGGGTACAATATAGGGCCGGGGTCAAGAGCCCAGAGTCCATTCAGGTTACATAGATGTAAAAATACCATTGCATACGGCCAATGAGCTCAGGGTGCTGTGGTAAACTTGAACACACAAAGGAGCTGTGGTTACTCCTGTCAGTTGATCTAATCTGAACCCAGTTCTCCAGATAGTCCAACCTTTGAGAGAAGTTATAAATTTGTATTTTATGTGAAATGTCCTGACATCCTATGCCAGCACCTAACTAAAAAATAACTTTGAGAATTAAAAATCTTCAACAACATTGTTGAAACAAACAAACAAACCATGTGCTTGCATTTAATTCCTGAGTCACATATTTGTGAACTCTGATATAAAAAGCATTGTAAAGTGGGCCTAGTTTTTAATCTTCCAAATGCTTTCAATGAAACAATGTCTCATAGATATTTCTTCTTCCAAGAGCAATGGGCCTCTGTGTAATTACAGAATCGATTTCTAAGTTTAGGTTTTGTGAGTCCATGAATTCTACAAAGTCCTAAAAATGCACCAGAACTTCTGTGTGAAGAAGTAAAGGGGACAGTCATGCTGCAGTCCCAGATACTTTGAGAGCTGAGGCAGGAGAGTTATTTGAGCCCAAGCTTAGATGGAGTCACACACACACACACACACACACACACACACACACACACACACACACACACACACACGAGTGAAGTAGGGGAGAGGGTGAGAGAGACAGAAGACAGAGAGGTGGACACAGAAAGACACAGACACACACACACACACACACAGTGGAGGGGAGAGGGTGAGGGAGACAGACAGACAGAAAGACACAGAAAAGAGAGACAGAACAAACATGAACGGGAAAGCAGGGCACCTGCAATGGTTCCCTGACTCAAGTTGAGTGGAAACCAGGAGGCAGCCTCTTTTCAAAGCTTTCTGCTTGGGAGACACAAGGGTCTACTACCTGTCGTGACTGGTCCCCATGAGCAGCATGACGAGCTTAGACCGTACATTTCCCTAAATCTATCTGATGGCCTTTCTCAGGCCCTCCATAATTCCACATTCCTACAATGGGTCTTGCAAAACCAGTGCAACTACAGTACTGCATCATATTAAATGCACCCAGTGCATTTAATCCTTGGTCCAATACGGTTCATATTCCAATAGTAAGTTGCTATTAGTGGCTTCATATTTATCATGCTCACCTTTGGTTCTGTTGATTTCTCTGACACCATCTTCTCATTTGATCTGGAAACTGCCTTTTCTTTATGAGCATGCTCACTTCCTGCACCTGAAGCATGCTTGGGAAGGTTTGGGGGCTGAAAGCACACACATACATTATTAACATGATGGTGGTTGAAAACAGTGCAGATATTTTTCTTATAGAACAAGGGCTGTATATAATAGTTTGCTTTGGGAACTTTTGAATTACGTAAACATCAATTAATGTGAGGCAAATGGTATGGTACTTTAGGTACAAAGTCTGAAATACTGCAAATCCTCCCAAAAAAAACCTTCATTAATAATTACTGAACATGCCAGGTGATGGTGTCCACGCCTTTAATCCCAGCACTTGGGAGGTAGAGGCAGGAGGATCTCTGTGAGTTTGAGGCCAGCATGGTCTATAGAGCTAGTTCCAGGACAGTTAAGGAGGAACCTATCTGGGGGGGGGGATCACTGAACACTGTTATTGCCACACAATGGCACTGTGTCAGCTGAGGAAACAAGTCTGTCTCAAACAAACTGCTACACAGGGTCAAGTCCAAGCAAAAAGCACTTACCTCTGAGCTTTCCTTTGGCTTTCTTTCTTGAGACTTTTTCTCATGAGCCACATGCAGCTGTTAATTTCAAAGAAGTAAAAGTTGAATTAATGTATTGGAATCTGCTGTTTTTATAATTACAAGTTGGCCCATGAAGTCAGTCTAACTATGTCCTCGGGAGAAAGTCTAGGCATACACTGTAGTCAAAGTAGCCTGCCAACAGTCTCCATGAGTGGTGATCCTAGAGTCTTTCCTCTAGAAAGATGTCTCCAAAGACACACATTTCTCTAAACGCTGGGCTGCTTTCGATATTCCCTAAGATCGATCAGTAGTTGTGAAACTATCTACAAAGGAATCAAAAGACTAAGGTGAGTAACTAAGTTTGCTGAAGTAAGTTTTCTGTGCTCCCTTCCACCCGTAGAATTGTGAAAAGTCTCCATCCATAGGTAATGAAATAGGACCACATCCCCAAAGGTCCAATTCTCTTGACATTTGGTAGAAAAACTACAAGCATTAAAATATGGGACAGAAGATAATGTTTCACCTAGTTGCTAAATTCTTCCATCTAGAATTCCCCATGCAAAGACTGAAGGCAGGTCTCACTGACAGGCCTTTCACAGAATCAGATAAACCTTACCCTTCACCCTATGGCCTGGTCTATATCTGTACTTCCAAGGTTTCACTGAGTTCTCTGCTCTACAGAAAACCTTATGGTCTTATCTAAGCTTATGCTTAAACAGTTGAAAGAATGAAATACAGCATTGTATTAAAAAGAATGATGTTTTGCATTCTAGAATCTACTTTTCTGTGGATGCAGAATGACTTTCAGACTGGACAGCCAGGGGAACAGGGAAGCAAGATTAGTTGTTCCCAGAGAAAAGGTCCTGAGGGACTCATAACATCTCTACCATCCCAGCAAAGACTTTCAAGATGAAATTGCCCACTGTCGTCCAAAAATCTAGGAGCAGGTTCAGCACACTGCTCCTGGTGTATCAAGGTAACTATAAATTGTTCTTTGTCCTTTTAAAGTTATTAGTATGAGTGTGTGTGTGCCTGTGTGTATACATGTGTGTGTGTATATATGTGTGTGCATGCATATGTGCCTGTGTGAGTATATTCTATGTATATACATGCATGTGCATGAGTAAGTGCACGTGTGTGAACATGTGTATATGTATATAAGTGTATGCATGTGCATGAGTATATGTGTATTTGTGAGTGTGTATGTATTTCTGTGTGTGCACATATGTGCTTGTACATGTATGTGTCATGGTGGAATGGCAACTCCACCATGGTTTTCTCCTTCTGCTGTGGGTTCTGGGGTTGAACTCAGGTCCTCAGGTTTACATAGCAAACATCTTTATTTCCCAGACCATTTCCTCTGCTTGACCTTTCCTCCTTTGTTCCTTTAAAAAAATGATTAAAATCTAAATTTGAATAACTTGTGAGAAACTTTTGTTTATGAAATATTGTATATCTTTTTAAACAATACAAGAATTTAATGGTATACATATTTTATATGTATTATATGAATTTATATTCAACAGAATAGTCAAAGTTATTTAAATTAGCCGACAAATCACCTTACCCATATAGGAAACTCATTCATCACTATAAAAAAAAGGGTCAGAATAATACACTCACAGACTTAAATTATTTACCTTACTTGATTGTGACTTCTCAGACTCTGTTTTCATAGCCTAAATTTAGAGAAGAATAATTTTTAAAAAGAAAAGAGAAGTTAAAAATAACAATGGAGATAGTTTACTAAGATTGTAATAGATTTTTTTTCCACTAAGTGATTTTGGTATTATTATCAATATAAAATGTATGATTTCAGTTGCTCACACACTTCAGCTATTACTAGTCATATGGCAGCGAACACTTCATTTCTTGCTATGTGTATCAAGGATACACACAGAGTTTTACTAATAACATTGTAGTAAAAACAGAAGCCACAGAACATATAAGTCTTCCTCCCTCAAATCCAAGGGCTCTGTCCATCTAAGCTACTAACATATTTTTTTTTAATCATTGAGACACTTACCATAGATAGGGTTCAGAGTATGTAGGAATAAGATGGTGGCAGACCCGAGGCACAGAGAGCAGAGCAGTTATTTTTAGTGCCAGCATATGCTTGATGGTTAAACCAAGAGGAAGCCTGTGATGGAGTCATGCTGTTACAGAGGACTGGGGACTGGAATTAGTGTGTGCTGAGAGGCTGAAGTGACTAGAGGGGAACTGCCAGGTACAGTGAACCACATCACCTGCTTTCTGTGCCTTTTCTTGTCAGGTGGGTGTGGTCCCTCCATCTGTTTGCAGACTGGAATGGCCTAATGATAGAGTGATTTCATTGTATCTTACAAGCTTCATAATGGGCACAAATGTTCATATCAAGATCATTCTTCTAGCCTAACATGTCTCCACCGCAAATGTGTATCTAACTCTACGGGGATTTAGGCACAAAAACACCAAGGTTCCAAGCAAGTCTTTTAGCTTGTGACTGTATTTTTTTTCATGAGGATTTTCATTTAAAAGATTAATTTTTAAGGTTACACCTTTGTGTAAAAGCTATTATAATCTTTTTTAAATCTGTAATTCCCCATGTTTGACTATGATGAAAAAAAAAAGTTCCAAGTGTCATTATCAGCTTTTTGAAATCCCGCCCACAGTTTTAAAAAACAGCTTTGTAAGTTATGTGTTGCATTCCTGAATGTAGAACTGTATTGTAAAGTTCTAAGCATGCGTCTCAAAGACTTTCTGGTACAATGTTTTACAGACTTTAAGCCAGAGAAAGGTGACCTGTCCAAATAAACAAAAAGCAAAAACCTCCATAAATGCATATAGACAACATTGATGGTGGCCGATGTGGACGGGACACAAACATCCGTTCACAGGAGGCAAGGTAGAAACCAGCACTGAACTTGATTCCTTTTTATAAATGTAGCAAGGTGGCGACCACAAATCAGTACTAATGCCTCCTGTTAACATTCTCCCTCTTGGATGTTTGATGATGTCAGAAAACTTCAACCTAAAGTATTATCTGAAAACTGGGATCGACATGTTAAAAAAAAAAAGTATTATACTCTTCTTTTAATCTATCATATCTGGTGCTTTCTTGGTGAAGGTACAGTCATCTTCATGAAATGCCTCCTAGTTATACAAGTATTATTATTGTTTGGAGTAAAAATCTAAGTTCATTATTGAATGTTTCTAAAGAAATTTGGGGTCCTTTTTCACTGCATCTTTGCTGATGAATTTTTGTTTGTGTTCCTCTGTTTGTGAATCTCCTCTTTTGTTTTTGTTTTTCAAGACAGGGTTGCTCTGTATAGATTGAGGCAGCTAGGAACACCCCTCAAAGGTATAGTACTTAGTTGCTTGTACACATGAAGTCTCATGGTCTTGTGATCAATTCCCAGCACTACAAATATGTTTATTTACATTTGTATACATGAATTTTAAAAACAATCAAACAAATGACAAATAATTGCTTACTAATAGATAGTATAGTCAATATTTTAATATGATTAAGAAATTAATGTGAAGGTAAAATATTAAAACTGTCAGAGAAATATAATAAAATTTAAAACTAAGCTTTATAAAACTTAGGTAATAGACACTCCCACATATTTTTACTGTTCTAATTCTAGGTAAGGCATGGGGATTCCTGCTGGTAACTTATGCTGCCATATCTCCTGAGACAGCACAGTGACAGAGAACACAGACAGCAAACATAAGCTGGAAATTATAGATAAAGAAATTTGATAATAAGGAGTTGGGAGTTCTCAATGCAATCAAATATTGTAACACACAAAGAAGATGAGAATATTTTGCAAATGCATCCTCTTTAATGTCTACCCTGAAATAGTTCTGAGAAACAGTTTGACTCACAGTAACTAAGGTAGAGACAGATGCTAGGGCAACATCAGTCATCTGTCAGAACTGGACTCACCCTATGTAGCAATTACACTTCTTTTATTCTTCTGAAATTCTGAGGGATAAACATAAGAACTAATACCTAACGGAGCTCTAAGGAGCTTGTCATAGAGACAATACTCTCCTCCATGGCCCACATAGCAGAAAGCAACTCAAACAACCAGTATCCATTTCCTTTGCTTCTGTGGTCATTTAGGTCACTCAGTATAAGCCTTTTCAGTTCTTAATGTCTACCGAAAATATTACAGCTGTTACCAAGAAGCTGGAATCCCTATGCACTCAGTTCCAGAGGAATGTACTTGGAGAGATGGTCTCTCTTCTTTTCAAAAATGTAATCAAGGGCAAAAATTCCAGCAATGACACATTTGAAAGCCTGTGAAACAACAGAAACCTCTTAAAGGAGGATTTACACAAGCTTTCAACTCAGAAAGAAGATGGTGACTTCCAGGATGTGAGCTTCCTCAGCTAAAGACGCCATCTGTCAGCAAGCACACTGCTCACAATCAACTTAAAGTGACACTGGCCAAGTTGCCCCTTGAAGGCTCTTTACCTTCGGTTCTGTGGTGCTCATACTGGGAAACTTGCTGGCTGCAGCAGAGGGAGCTGGCACCTAGAAAAGAAACAAAAAGTCACATTTGCCATGGCCTCCACTGTACTGTGTGGTTTTGTATGTCAACTTGACACACACTATAGAGTCATCAGAGGCAGGATCCTCAGCTGAGGAAATGCCAGGGCCCAGCTCATGGTGCGAGGTGTCATCCCTGGGCTGCTGGTCCTGAGTTCTATAAGAAGGTAGGTTGAGCAAGCCATGGGAAGCAATCCAGCAAGCAGCTCCCTCCATGGCCTCTGCATCAGTTCCTGCCTCTGGGATCCTGCCCTGTGTGAGTTCCTGTCCTGACTTCCTTTAGTGATGAACAGCAATGCTGAAGCGTAAGCCTAATAAAGCATTTCCTTCCCAACTTGCCTTTTGGTCATGGTGTTTCATCACAGCAATAAAAAAACCTAAAATACCCACTTAAAATTATCCTCAGCTCTTCTTCTCCGCACTTCCCCTAAATTTCCACCTTGGTTTTGCCTAGTTTGTAGTAGTGTGCTCACAAATCCCAATAGGTGTTGCTAGCCACAGAATAAAAGTCTGTGACCAGATCAAATGGGCTCAGATGTAGTCTCTTATGCGCCACATAATAGTGGCCAGTTACTTAGAGTCTCTGGTCTCCAGTTTCCCACACACAGCTCTTTAGTAGCTAACAGTACCTTGCAAGCCTATATACATAACTACTTGATAAACTTCGTTATAAGTACTGATATTAATTTGTAAAAGAATGTGCACTTGGACACTTGTTAGACCCCTTTTAAACTTTGTTTGAATCCTAGCCACCTCTGTTATTTACTACCAGTGTGACTTTAAGCCACAGTTTTTCAGATAGAAAAATGGGACATAGTGTCTGTTTTGCAGGTTTTTAAGTATTTATGATAATTGTGTAAAATTTCTGCCACATTATAATTGTTAATGTAATTACTAGGACACGGCTTGAGTGTGAAGGAAGCCCCATGTGTATCTGAATACCTGGTCTCCAACTAGGGTGCTTTTTTTTTTTTTTTTTTTTTTTTTAATGGATCCTAGCTGGAGGAAGTGGGCCATTAGGATGCCATAGTTAGGGGATGAATGATATACCGGAAACCATTAGCTAAAATAAACTCTGCTTTCTTTATGGTATTTTATCACAGTCATCAGTGATTTATCTGTCTATCTATCCATCAATCTATCTTTCATCTATCTGTATATTATACAAAATAGAAATAAGTACATAGCATGACTGCAACTGTCCTTTTATTGCTACATTAGATAAACAAATAGGAAGACAGGACTTTTGAGAGAATGTTGCTGTATTGCCTGTCTCATATTGGCTCCTCCTTGGAGCACAACACTTAATAGATGCCCTCCTTTGGAATGCCTGGGGGAGGTGGAGTCCTGTGAGTGAATCACCTAAACAGAGGGTGTGGGTGCATGCATGGTACTGAATACTGTTCCATTACTTAGCTTGTATCATCATGATAATATTAAAATAGGCATTTATCACTTTGGCAAATAACAATTCAGCTTCATGTAAGCTTCTTCACATTTCAATTCATTGGGATTTAAAGCTCAGGGATTCCATCTGGAACAAGCTGCCTACTTAGGAAGCAACTCACTGTCAGTAAACAATTGTGATTGTCGGGAAGATGGGAAAAGTCGATAAGGTGGGCCTCCCTCAGTCTCCAAGTCTAGCCCCGAGCCACTTTGGAACTTACGTCAAAAGCAGTATAAGCCTGCCACTGCTCTTCTCCCGCTCACATTCCCATCCAAGGGGATGGCAGTGTGACTCTGCTACTACCTGTTGTCCATGACCTACATCACTGGCCCACAGACCTCAACTAACACTATAGTTAAACTATGGTAATTTACATAATAGAAGACTGCACGTGCGCACGCGCATGCGCGCGCGCGCACACGTGTGCACACACACACACACACACAAGCACTGTAGTAACTTCTTTCACATTCTCTTTGGGATAAAAAACTAGAACGTATACAAAGATAGATTTTCTTTATAGTTAAATTATTGGAGACATATATAAGTATTCATATTTTTGTTGAGAGTAAATTTTGTTGGGAATTGAAGTGCTCATACATAGATAATTCTACCTCCACAAGGTGAAGGAAGAAATGTACAACTTTCTAATCAAATTCTGGAAGTTCCCATTCCTTTAGTTGTCTTCCTCATACATATCAAACCAGTAGCAGAAACAAATTTTGTACATGTAAGTTCATTTTATGATGAAAGTCTTTAGTCGAAAATTAAATTTTAAAATATTTTTATTATTTATTCATATGAATATTTGCCTGCATGTAAGTATATATACTATGTGCATGCCTGTAGTCCAGAAGAAGTCAGAAGAGACTGGAAACTGAAATTTTATATGGTTGTGAACCAGTACAGGTGGCCTTAGAATTGAACCAGGATACTATGTAAGAGTTACCAAGTAATCTTATCCACAGAACAATCTCCAGGCCATCAAATATCAAATGTTAAAAATCTAAATTTTTTAAAATGTTTATAAAATCAAATATCTTCAGATTATTCCTGCCCAACTACAATAAAGAATCTCTGAAAATGAGCCTCATGTCCAATAATAGAAACATTCAAAGGCCCACTGGGAATAACAAAATCTCTCCATATAGCAGCTGTAAATTAGCACGGTCTTAATGGGATTTTGACTAAGGTTCTACCTGTCCCCAGCATTGAGTCTTTCATGGAAGTTCCACATTAAGACATGCCATATTTCCAAAACTGAGATATGAATCATGACTCATGGGGACTAGGGGCAAGGGAAGTGATGCTACCAGATTATTGACCCTCTCAACTCCGGATTATTGCATCTTGTTCAGCTCTTATTCTAGAAGTGAAGATAAAGAATGCTTTTATGTTTATGACCTCATGTAAAGGACTGGATGTGCCTTCATTTTGTATCATTTGAACTGTCGAGCTTAAATGTAAATAATTATTATGAATAAAAAGTTATGAAAAGTTAACTCCCAGATCTTTAAAAGGTATGAATCTTAGTAATAACCTTGTTAAAGGTTACATATAGACTTTAAACAAATGAGAAAATGGAATCTCACAGTTTCCTGGTTCCTTTGGTTAATGTGGAACACAGTGTATACCCCTGTTAAGTTCTGGGGATACTACGGTAAGATCAATAGATATGCCTCGGCCTTTGTAAAAGGTAGAGCCTAGCCAGGGTTGAAAAGAGTTAATCACTCTAGTAAGTCAAGTCTCATGAAAACTCAGACTATGGAACTAGAGCAGAGGACCACGGAGATAGGCAATTCTGAAGGTATGGCAGATTATCTGGTGACATAGGACAAGGGGGGAACACAAAGACAAAAGGCCAGTGTGATGGTGTGAATACATATTGTTCCCACGGACTCATGTGTTTGGATGCTTGGCCCATAGGGAGTGGCACTATTAGGAGGTGTGGCCTTGTTGGAGGAAGCGTGTCACTGTGAGGGTGGGCTTTGAGGTATCATATATGTTCAAGCTATTCCCAGTACACAGTCACTTCTGCTACCTGCACATCAAGTTGAACTCTCACATCCTTCTCCAGCACCATATCTGCCTGCACACCACTGTGATAATAACTGACTAAACCTCTAAACTGTAAGCCAGCAAATGAAATGTTTTCCTTTATAAGAGTTGCTGTGGTCATGGCGCCTCTTCATATCAAAAGAAACTAAAACTAAGACACCCAGGGAGATGCATCCATACATGAGGCACACATAGCTGTGCATGCCAGCAGCAATGCTAGGCCATCTGTGTCCATGTACTGCAATACCTAACATTCCTAGGGTATGGGACTACTGGAAGCTCCTAGGCATTCCATGGACCAATGTCAGATCAGAGTGCATCTGAAACAATACTTGCTCTTCCAAATATCCAGGGAAATCTCTAAGTACCCAGAGTAGTACTTATTCTTTATAACGTGAGCTAAGGTATCAGAGGAATACCCTGACAAAAATAATTCACCATCCTCCCATTCAAGAGCCATTATCTAAAATGTACTTCTCCAAGAGTTGAGGATACACAATTAGACACAACCATGGCCTCAGGAAGTTGAATCCACAGAGGTAAAAAGATCACAAAGCAGGCTTGTCACATAACTTAGGTGACCTAGCAAAAGTGTTAAGTGGTTTCTCATAGGATACAAAAAGAAAATGTTTGAACTCTAAATAAAATTCACTTCCAACTCAAGCTTGTTATGAGGCTGCAAAAGAAGAGAAGACCATTTGTAAATGTAGAGTAGATTTTGGTTCTGTGAGCCCCTGAAGGTTCTGATAAATGGGAAAAGGTAGGGCTCATGATGAAGAGTTGGACTTGTGTAATGATCTTCTTTCCATTCTATTGACGTTAATTCCAGTTAAAAGGAAAAAAAAAATCCCTCAGCTTCTTACATATCTGGCTACAGAACAGAGACTAAACTTAATGTTTGTCTGCCAGCGGCATCTAACTTCTTTTAATGCATGCTCCCGTCCTCTGGGATCCTCACTGCCTCAGATGGAGCCAGCCAACCTCACTGCAATCTCTCCTCACCTCTCCCTGAGAAAAGACAGAGTGGAACATCAGAAGTACTAGATTTTCTTCTCCTAAATTAGATCTCGCTTCCTTTCCCAAGTAGCAATACTAACGTTAACATTTCCCTCACCCAAGGCATTGATGGTCCTCTTTTGTATTGGGCTTGACTTTGTTGAAGGTTCCAAGAACATCAGGCCCCATGCCTGTGCCCGCCTTTTCCACTCGATAACAGCAGCTTTGTTAAGAAACATTGACTCTTCTTCACTTTTTGGCTATTGTCACACTGGGAGCCTGGGTTCCTTCCATAGTCTTCTGATCTGGTTCCTTCTGGGAGCTTCTGTCACCTACTACTCCACGCTCCTTACTACTCACTCACAATCCTATCATTCATTGTGACTTTTAACATTCTGCTCTCGGAGAATACTGAGTTCTCTAATTTTAAGTATCTTCTATTGTTTGAGCAACTCACTTTATCTTATCAACAAGCCAGCTTTGT